ACTCAGCTCATTCCTCCACACGCCACCAGCCCATGGACACTAAAACTTTGTTTCCCTGCCGGTCTCCCAGCTGTCTCCTGCCTGCCTTCCCTGAGCCACCACTACCTGAAGCCCCCCTGCAACTACGACACACTTGCTGCTCCGATCCTGCCACAACCAGCCGTTACCTGCCTCTAGCTCTGCTCTAGCTTTTCCCCAGCCCTCACCGGACTCCGGATTCCCCAGGCGCCTTCAGTTTTTGTCCCCTGTTCTGTGAGTATCCTCGTTTGGTTGAGTTAGTTTGTTTTTTTTTCATCTTAGGATTTCTTAGGTTTCCCGTCTGTACTTGGTTCAGAGCTTTCTTTGGATTTTTGTGTATTACGTCTGCTTTACCCTGCTCTGTTTCCCCCTCTCAGCTTAGTTTCCTCACACTGTTGTTTCCAGTTTAATGCCTTCTCAATAAGTCACTTTGTTCACTCCACCTGCCTGTCTGTGTCTGCACATGGGTTCCTCGACCTGCCTTAACAGTTAGGGTGACCATATTTTGATTTCTGCAAACCAGGACACTCGGACTGGTAATGAGACACTCAAATGATACCCGAAGTTTACTCAAAGATGTCTTTATAATTTCAATTCATTTAAAGTATGCCTCCTCTGTATGGATAGAAAACATGTTGTTGACGAGGAGTCATCCGATTATCTGGAGGCGTTGCTTAGTTTATATGGGGAGTGGAAAAGGACTTCCACAAAGGAGCTGAAGGAGGCACGTTTCCCTGAGGGCGCAGAGCGGCGTCACAGAGACTCATAAACGCCCTCCCTGATTTAGGTTATTTTTGAATGAACTTGCTCCCCAGGACTCCCCCTCCTGGAAGGCCCTCCAGGAGAAAGCGTGGCTCTCGGCGAACCCAGACCTCATCGCTTCTCAACGTCGCAGAGGTCCCGTCGCCCAAGTTCTACATCCTGGTGGTTCCTGAGTGGGTCGACACCACCTCTGATCCTGTTCTCTGCCCCCAGCATCCCATTTGACGTTTGTACCATAAATTGATGCAGAAAAGGCAGAAATTGTCCCATAAAGCTTTACTAAAATGCAAGAAATTAAGTGTTCAGCTCAAAAGTGGCCATGGGAGGATTTCATTTAACTGAAAATGACAAATATGCAAAATGCTTTTTATTTACACCTAAACTGTTTTGAGAAGCAAAGCACTTCTGTGTTTTTCTTTTCATAAATACAGACATTTTTACCAGGTGCAAAATGAGACATAAAATTTTTGCCAAAATGCAGGAAATGAAGTGTTCAGCTCTGTGGGAGGACTGTCAAAGCTGAATATGCGAAATGGATTTTATTTACACCAAAACTGTTCAGCGAGAGAGAAAAAAAATATTTGTGGAATTCAATTTTGACAGAATTCAAAGTTTTTGAAATTCAGTGGATTTCATTTCTAATGACAGGCATGAATTTTATATTCAGCACCTGACTACAGTTCAAAGTGACTGGAGCCAGTCCTGTGTGGCAGAATGTCTGGTGGGACATAAATGAAAAATCAGCTCCTTGCAGCAACTTCACGCGCTGACTGAAATGAATTTTTACATCATTTTCCAGAAGAAACCTTTTTACGGTCTCAGCATTAAACCTGCTCTCAGCTCTGATACACACTGCAAGCTCTTTCCAAAAAAAACAGGCTCATCATCTGCGACCGGGAATATTCGGAGTGACACAGAGCAAAGAAAGCGAGCTGAGGGACACGTCGCTTTCAAAGCCGGGGAAACACACTCAAGAGATGTGTTTCTTTTGTTTTCTGCAAATGACTCGCGTTTGCATGCGGCTTATCATCTTGGAAACACATGTGGTCTTATCTGGAAGCTACAATTTGTGCTCTCCGGGTTGCGGATCTTCTCTGGAGCAATCACCCGCTCAAAAAGAGCCAGAGGTCTGGCCGTTCAGTCTGCAGCCCTCGAAGGATCTCATCTGTGTTTTGTGTTCACCTGATATTTGTTTCACTAACAATTACATTACTGCCACCATATTTGAATCCCAGAGCAATCCCAACGTCAACTAGAAGGATGTGAGCCGCTTCCAATTTTCTCTTTGAAAGGCTGTGAATATTGGTTCTTAGGTCTCCCACGGCGCGTAGAAACGATGTCAATATTCGCGCTGAGCAATTTGTTTTCTATTTGCAAGTCCACCTGCGTCTCTACGCAGGTCACCTAAACCGCAGCCTATTCATCTCATTCTCTATCGAGCTCTTATGAAATGCTTCCAAATTGACTTTGTCATCCATTTTGGGGAAGGGAGTCACTTGTACTCCTCGACTTGTCTACTTCCATTCTGGCTGATGAATTTTGAGAAGCATGTATGACACTTGTGTCCCCTGCGTCTCTTTTTGTTTTTTCTTGGATCTATTTAGGAGGAGCATTCTTTTTTCTTTTCTCTGCCACTAATATTAAATAGGATCAGCGCTAGAACAGCACCATCACAATTTGTTTATCTTCTAGTGTGACTGTCACAGAGGACAGCTAAAAACTACTTTTTCCCTCCATGAAACAACTTTCTTAAAACACGAAGCCACTCAATGCGGTGTGTTGTATTTACAGTCAGAGGGAGAAATGGAAAATCTGATGATGGGGAGGTGCTTCAAAGTTTAACGGAGGTGTTGCTGAGTAATAACAGACAGAAAGAATTCGCTGAATACTTAGGATGTAGTCACTCTCTTTACCTTTGACCTTTACATCTAAACAATTTACACACACTGCATGCTTTATTTTTGCTATTTCTGTAGGAGATTTCATTACTATACTTGGTGTTCAAGACATTATATTGTATTTGCTGGCAGGAAGAAGGCAGGACACGAGGAAGCAGCATCCAAACTATGATTTTTCTCTCTACACTATGGTCAGTATGTCCCATATTTTAACAATCTCCAAGGGTATTTTTTTTTCCTCCCCAAATAAAATATCCCACTTTATTCCCACAGGGCAAAAGGATGCGGCTGTTGTTTACTGGCCCTCTCAAATCCCCAAGGATGCATTTCCGGACATATTTTTGAGTCAGTTCATCTGTGCTGGAAATATCTAGCAAAGGTCAAAGCCCAACAGTTCTGTCACGCCTTGATAATAAAAGCTCGACAGCCGACTTCAAAACAAAACTCCCTGTTTTCGCTGCAGCAGTTTTAACTTGGGCTTTGGACAAAGTTTATAAAAAGCAGCATTCCTTCAGATTAGATTTTTTTTTTCTTCTGTTTGCCAGGTGAGTGTATATAAACACACACAAACTCTACCAGTCAAATAGAAAACAGCAAGAATGCTCTCCACCCACTCACTCTTGAACAAGACTATGAGTCTTATCTTTACAATTACAAACCTTTAACCTCTCATAAAACACTTAAAGTAGGAGTTCAGCATTTCAGGAAATGCACTTGTCCAGGCCAAGAGAAACATGAAGAGATGATATTTTGTGTACAACAGCTAGCCTGGTTCTGTCTGGTACCAGCTTCTAACAAATCTCCATCCATCCATTATCTACACACCACTTAATCCTCACTAGGGTCGCGGGGGGCTGGAGCCAATCCCAGCTGACTTAGGGTGAAGGCAGGGGACACCCTGGACAGGTCGCCAGTCTATCACAGGACTACACTTAGAGACAGACAACCAAGCACACTCACATTCACACCTACGGACAATTTAGAATCACCAATTAACCTCAACATGTTTTTGGACTGTGTGGGAGGAAGCTGGAGAACCCGGAGAGAACCCACACTGCACGGGGAGAACATGCAAACTCCATGTAGAAAGATCCCGGTGCCCCCACTGGGAGGCAAACCGGCGACCTTCTTGCTGCGAGGCAACAGTGCTACCAACTGCACCACCTTGTAGCCCCCAACAAATCTCACTAATTAATTTATGTTTTTGTTTTTCTATTCGATGCAAAACTCCACATGTACAAATGTTGACTTATGATTTCATCGGGAGCCGTGCAGCCACTTTAAGTAAAAAAAACAATTCTATTCAATGTGTTAACTGATGGATTTTAAGTTCCTGAGTTGCGTAGTCAGTGTTTGTCCAACCCAAGTTGCCAGTGCACCAATCATAGACTTTATATAAAAGATGGATGTAACCTCAATGTCTAAAATGCCAAAATGCCTAAAACCCACATTCTTTCTAACAGCCAGCAGGAGGGGACTTCTCTGGTTGCAAAATTAAGCCAGATTGCATAGAAGTCTATGAGAAAATTATTCTTCTTCTCACTTGATTTAGTACTAAAATAACCAAATTCCTCATAAATTTATGGTCTCCGTCTAGAGTTTTAGGTCTCCTTCAATTCAGCAGGGTGTTTATTTTGTAAATTATGGCTCCATTTAGAGTAAAACAAACAATAAAGCAGGTATACTCTGATTGACAAGTTGCCACCATGTAAGCATGCATAATCAAAAACTGTTTGTTGTGAGTCCGGTTTCAAGAAACTAAGATGGTGACAAACAAAACGCCAGACTCAAGGCTTTTGAACAGCAGCTCATGAACCAGTGGGTGATGTCACGGTGGCTACGTCCGTCTTTTACACACAACCAATGGCAACAACTAAACAGACATTACTTTAAGCTAGTGCAATGGACACATCTCACCAGAAAACTGCTTTTTCTCAGGTCTCTGTCTGTTCATAAAGCCACAGGATTAACACAAATGTTTTGCTCAAGAACTCATGCGGTCGGACCATCCCCTCTGTCCACATCATCTTATGCAAATTTAAATCTAATCTATTCTTTCCATTTACTTTGTTTTCTTCCCCTGTGTGAACACAATTTTGGAGGTACTGCAAAGCAGATTTCATTACCTTCAGGCAGAATCAGGCAGCCTGCAGCCGTCTTTATGACTAACCACGTCCTGGCTGTTCAGCTTAAAGACATAAGTGTCCTCTCATCATGTCCGTTTTCATCTAACTCTTGCCCAAGAAAGCAAATTATATGCAAACTACTCTTTCTACACTCCCTGTTTTTAAAGTTTTACCAATAACATACAGTAACAAAGCCTGTAGTTCATCTTCTTTTTATTCTTTCTTTGGCTATTACACCGACACACATTCATAACCAAGATACAAAGTGGTCATATAATAGTTTTTAGGGGGTATAAACCAGTTCTGTTTTGCAATAAATACACAACCATCTAGCTTGGCATAGAACTTATTGTACAAATGCTGCTTTCATTTCATAGTGCTCAACATTTTTAACATCAACAAGTACATCTTTTTTAAATATAAGTGCAGATTCAGTGTTGGCAGTAACAGCTGATTGACCTCCCTGCCCCCCCGAGTGCACTTTATAGATAAAACAATATAAAATATCACTGTGATAAAAGTACACTCAGCAGTCAGTAAACAAACACAGGTGCTTCTCTTCTTTTTCTGGTGCTTTGAACTTTGACGACTCTACACTGGTTATTATATTGCTGCATGATGAAAAGCTTGAAGTTTGCTTCATTTTCAGATGAACAGCCATGTGTTTGAAATGGAGACGTGAAAAGGTTTCATGTGCAGAGAGATTTTGAAACCATTAAAAGACCATTGAGACCATTATTTCACATCAGCTTCGACTAAATGGGAGTTGGAACATTTTCCCGTCACTGCAGCCCTTAAAAAAACCCCGCTGTGCTTCCAGTCTGACAGGCCGCAATTTAACAACTTGGTGTGCTGTAGTTCTTGTATAATATCTCAGACTAAATTATGGTAATCAGCTCCTATCTGGCTGCATATGTCATCATTTCACAGTCTTCAGCACATAAAGACCTCGGCGGTGAGAAACCCTAACCCGATTCATTCCTTCCTATCCTACTCACACAGATTGTCTGTCAAGGCTAGCATACATTTTGAAATGATTTCAAAAACCTGACATTGGCTCTTGTTGGCACTTTATCCTCTCGTCTGCTCTGTCATTAAGAATATTACTATATAAGAATATTTTCATGAGTGCGCTGATTCCTCGTATTGCTGTGAAACATGTAATAATCCTCACTTTTTCTCTTACTTTTGATTCTTAGATGGAAGAACATTGCATGGATTTGTACAGTGTTTGACCAATAACATTTACTGCATTCATAAAGTATGGAAGTGCAATCTAACAAGACTGAGCCTCAATCTGAGGCTGCACCGATTGTCTTTTGGGACACAGTATCTTTGAGAAAGCCCTTCGAAAGCTGCTGTGGCACAGAGGGTACAAGATTGGGTTGATGGCGGAGTTCAGCCACAGAAGCCAGAATGTAATCTCGTACCAGTAGTTCGCCACACACTCACCGCTGCAGGCAGCACGGATAATCATTAGTAGAGTGTACGGAGCCCAGCATATCCCAAAAGTGCAGACTATAATGGCCAAAGATTTGGCAATCTTTTTGTCTCGGGAAAGGCGAGATCCTTGTGTCCTACGGCCAGGAGCCACGCAGGAGGCTGAGTGCTGAAACAGCCTGGAGTTTTTTCTGCTTGGCGAGAGCTTCTCCCGCTGCATGAATATCTGACTGGTGTTCGGCTCCCCGCTAGAAGAGGGGTTCAGCACGTCGTCGTCCTCTATTACAGCAGAGATAGCGGTTGGCTCGCTGGACGACACTTTGCGAGTCTTGACAAAAAACACGGACCAGCCTCCTGCTTCTTTGTGCTTCTTGGTGGTCTTCGGTGGCTTGGGTTCGTCCTCGGCGCAGGCAGCACCTCTCTTATTCCTGCGATGGATGTTCAGGTAGATGCTGAGGTTGAAGAAGGCCACCGACACGAACGGGGTGAAGAACTCGAAGGTAGAAGCGCTGAGCAGGAAGTACCAGGTGAAATAAAACTCGGCGTAGCACTCGTGGGCCGGGACGACGCTCTGGCCGACGATCGTCTCCCAGAAAATGATGGCAGGGCCGTAGAGGAGGAAGGAGAGCACCCACACCGCCACCATCTTGAACACAGCCTGGCGGGTCATGTTCCTCTGAGCTCGGTATTTAACCTGTGTCAAAAGAGAGGCACAAGTGTGAGTCACAGCGATGCAAAGAAACTCTGCTACACCGCTTTCAAACAGCTGCTCACATACTGACGGGCTGACAAACGCACTGGATTCTGAGTATGTTCTTCAAATGACGCCCTTATTGTATTGTGGCGCCTCAGAGCAGCAGAGAGATGCTGTAAATAAAACCCTCTCGTGAAGCTCTGATTCTATAGCGTGTCACCGAAGCCAATGAGGGAAAAGGGAATGTCGGGCTGAGAGCCACATTCTCTGATGCAAAACGAGTATAAAAGAGGCATCTGGTTTCTCCTGATCCACTCCTCCTTCGCCATCATCTGTCGCTCATTCTCTTTGCGCTAGCTCCATTTTCACTTCAGTCTAAACTCTATCATTTAGCAGGGCACCTCTATTTACCACTCTCTTTTGTTGTTGCTGCTTTTTTTCTTTCTCTTTTTCTTTGTCTCATACCGTGAAATATCTCCTTGCACAGCAGCTGGATATGTCACGGTGGGACAGCAGTGCCGCAAATGTGACTGTGGTGAAAGAGCAGCTTAAAAAAAAAATAAATAAAAAATCCATTAATAATGAAACAGACTTTCATGTCTTGATGCTCATAATTGATTCTGGCCTCAGTCACTACAAAAGCAGAAAACTCTCTATTGTAAATGACAGATTTACTCCTCTCTGTGGGTTGGAAATGAGGAAGTAAATACACACGATTTCAAACTGAGCCACTGAAATTAAACAATTAGTCAAAAGTAGCTACAAGCAATGAGAATGTTGCTGCAAGTGTCACGTAGTCAAGACCACCTAAATGGAAACCAAGTCATGACCTAGATTGGAGTTTACTAACACTTCAACCAAACCACATCAGTGCAAGTCTGACATTGTGTGACACACTTTGGGAATATACAACACATACTAGACATACATAGCTTGTATGTGTAACTAAAAAGTCTAAAAAAATACATTTAATTCAAACTAAAATCGCAACTTATAACAATGCAAAAGCTGCCAATTAGTGTATTTGCTATGCAGAACCGGGTTTAAACTGTTGTATCAGTGGTTTTTTCAAATTCTTGTGTGGCAAATCAATTCCTATCTGTCAGAAAAACAGCAATTAAATATTTTCCCCAAACCATTCAACCCTAACAGAGAATATTCTCTTTGGATGAGGGATGAAGACATTTCTCAAGAGTTTCCATTTCTAAATGCCAAGATAAGTTTGTGGTCCAGCTGTCTCAGCAGGCGTTGCTTTGAAGAATTTACATACTGCTGTGGGTTTTCTATTTTAGGGATGTTTTGCAGATTAATTCTTTATAGTTTAGGAAGCAAAATAATATTTCAGATTTAATTACATGTCCTCGCAGACATAAACCTCTGATAGGCTTCTTCTCCTGTCCTGTGCATCCACTTTGCTGAAGTGTTTGTAAAGGGGGATGGAGAGAGGTGACAACTTTTAACAGTGACAAAAAAGCTTACTTAGAATTGAGTCAAGTTGTTGGTTGCATTTGAAGCAGAAAGGTTTACATTTAATCTCAATAATGATATTAACGCATATATCAGAGAATGCACAGGCAGTTGAGTGATGTCCTTACAGCTGTGTTCTTGACCAGTTTGGGGAAAAAAAAGGTGAGTTCTCTTTATCTATAGTCTCACATAGCCAGACCTATCCCCACAGCTCACTGTGAGTACTGGAGAAAGTTCTGACTACACCTCATTATCATTCTGCTATAGGAGGAAAAACGCTCTGGCATGTTTGTATTTCTTTAAACCCATCACAGTCAATCATCTTGGGCAGTGCTCAGCCCAGGATGCAGCTGTGGTGCCCCAGCAAAACAGTTACAGGAGGATTGTTTTGGAACATTTTAACTGTCATTAAAATGGTTAAATCACTGCACTTGCTGCTCTGTGGTTGTTGCTTCCAGAAGCAAAGGGCATTTTCACTTTGACAAAGACAAGACTGAGCAAAAATGCTGTTGATATCAAGACAAGGACAACCTGCTTAAAAAATTTTCACCCCTTTTTAAAGATTTAAGATTACAACACTAGCTATTGCCGTACACTGCAATTGACAACTAAATATGTGTGTGTGTGTGTGTGTGTGTGTGTGGCAGCTTTAGTAAATTAAAATAACACAGGCTACAAGACCATAAAAAGTATTCACATAAAAATATTACAGTTTATGCCTATGAAGGGCAAACAAACTTGCCTGAAAGAGCTTTTTGTTTTTGATGACTAATAATAACTTTATGTAGGTAAAATTGGCTCTGATTAAAGCCCACTTTGAAAAAAAATGAGACAGATTTTAAAACAACCACCAAATTAAAGCAGAGTAAGGAGTAATATTCTGAATTTTAGTCTCTAATATAAGTCAAGTTCCAGAAAGTGCTCCATAATGTAGCTCAGCAGACTTTTTTGTGTGTTTTTAAATCCCACTCTGCTTTGGTTAACACCTTTGGATGTCCACATGTATCATCTGATGAAAACAGCTGTAAAATCCATATAACATCCATATCAAACAAAAAAATGGCAACAAAATGTATTGTGAAAAAAAGAGATTTTACTGGCAGAAAAACAAAGAATGTGCACACTGCACAGTCTGTCAGACATCAAGGTGGCAGTATCCGTTGTGTGTGATTCAAAGGTAAAGCAAACTGCAGCAGATAAATATACATCAAAGGGGGAATCAGTCGCAGATGACAATGTTTGTCTTTCCCAAAGCCAATGCCCTGAAAAATGTGCAACTATATAGCACCACAAAATCCTCTGTTGGCTACAGTGGACATTGACTCAGACCTGACAGAATCTTTACCACACATATGTTGATGATTTTTTATATAATTCGTATGATTTTATGCTTACGTCCGGGGAAATTGGGGATAATTGGGGATGATTAAAGATAATATACAATTACTGACATGCCGTATAAACTGGCATATATGCTGCTTCCACAACACACACTTCCTCCGAACCCAACTTGCCTTAAAAGACTGAGAAAAAGACATCCTCAGTCCCAAAACAGATGACATTTACACAGTGTCACAGGGGTTATATACAGTGCTGATAAAAAGTTTTCACCTTTTATTGCCTCTCAGCATTGAACCAAGGTCAGTGTCATGGATGTTTCTTTACAAGAATTAAAAAAACAAAGAATTTTTCATGTCAAAGTGAAAACAGATTTCTATACAGCAATGTCAGTTAACTAAAAATACGAAACGTAAAATCCTTCCATTTCATAAAGATGGATTGACCTCTACTCCAATCGATATTCAGAGCCTTGGAAGTGTTCTTGTATCCATTACCTGACTGACCCCCAGAGGACTGACTCACCATTGACTGGACCTTCCAGATGGAGGTGTCTTTATTCATTCACTGCACTCTGATGATCTCCATTTCACTATTTGTGTAACTGAGTCTCTTTAAAGGGGTTGAATACTGATGCATTAACTTATTGTTACGTGTTATGTTTGAAATGAATTGACATTACTTTGTTAAAATCGGTTTTCACTTCGACATGAAAGAGTCTTTTTGTGAACTTTTGCCAAAAAAAAGCCAAAAAGCCTAATTAAAGCAATATGATGGGAAATAATTCCATTGTGAATACTTTCTATGGGCTCCCTCAGGATGCACAGAAGAGAACATAGCTGAGCAGCACTGCGCAATGACAGGCAAACCAAATTTCCTGGATAAAATAAGTGGAGTGCCCTTTTTTGCTGATGCATATTTGTCCATATTTGGACTGCAGAGTCCAATGCTAATGTTTGCATTGATAATATTTACTTATTAAACTAAACAGACTGTTCAAGCTTTAAACTGACTGGACAAAAATGAGAGATTAAAGGCACACACCCTCGTGAGGGACGAGAAGCTGTGAATGTAAATGGCTTCTCAGTGCAGCACAAACTGCTCCCCGGAGTGACACATTTTTGGAGGTGGCTGCGGTATAGTGTGTGGATTACATATGTGTTCCTGTGTGGTAATGAGCACCTCCACAGTCCTGTACTTACTGCTCTTGTGACTGACAGGAAGCGGTCATAACTAATGAGGACAATGTTGAAGACTGAGGCGGTGCAGAGCAGGTAGTCCATGACCAGCCACACTTTGCAGAGACCCTTCCCCAGCATCCACCTGCCTGTCAGGTTGTACGGGATGTACACCGGGATGCAGAAGGCACCTGGAACACACACAGAACCATACATTTACACTCTGCATGGTGATTTAACCCACTCCCCCCCAACCCTGACCACTCACACCTCTCCAGACCCTCCATGCAGCCTGGATGTGAGACCTATTACATGTGACAAAGAAATTATTAGCTGCTGCATGTTACCAACCCAAACCCCTGCAGTGAAAGACATTTTGGGAACAGGAGCAGTCTGATATTCATTAAAGAGAAAGGAAAGGTATAATTTACCTTGTACTGCAGATAAGAGCAGCACTATGAGAGGGGTGTGAGTGCCTTGCAGACATAAAACAGAGGGATGCTACAATTACGCACAATAAGTCCATGGTGATGAATGAAGCTTAAAGGACGGTGAGGTCACCAGCAACTCGCAGCTCATCAGTAGTGACTCAGTAATTACATTGTAGAAAAATGGCAATGTGTTTGGGGCGTGCGCAAAAGGCATTTTATTCATAGGCAGGAACAAAAGATTTGAAGGCGCCGAATTAGGGTGAAATTTGCGAAGGAGACAATAAAAAAAAAGAAAGAAAAAGGAAGGCATCAACTCACCCACGAGAAAATCCGATATGGCAAGGTTGAGAAAGAAGTAGTTGCTTTGATTTCTCAGGGTTTTATCCACAATAAAAGCCATGATGACCAGCGCGTTCCCCGCTACCACGGCGACCACCAGAGTCCCCATGAGGACCGATAAGATCACCACCAGGTATCCCGGGAGGACGGTCCCAGCCTCGGACACCGCAGGCGTCAAGTTGCCGCTGGAGTTGGACTCCACGATGTGCGCGCCCATAGTTAATTCACAGCCAGGATCATCGTAGGCTCTTTTCATTGCACGCACAAAGACCGCGAACAAGTCCAGCCAACGGTGCGCTCCACTTTAACGAGGAGTTAAACCTGCGCGAAGACCTGTGGATGAATGAAGGGACTTTTCCCAAATCTCCATTTTCCTCCCTCTCATCAGAACAGGTGTGTGATCGAGAGACGCAGGCTGGAGATAAATCAGATTTGTTTCTTAATAATTTTAATTTAAAAAAATAAATAAAAACAGAAACAAACAAAACAAAAAAACTGTTGCTCCTGTGGGTGCACTCTGTCCTTTCCTCACAGCCAATTATCTACAGTGCCGGCTGTTGGATGTGCGGGTATCTCGGAGCGCACAGTTGCTTTTGTCCCCGATGTCAAGACTGCTAAAGTGGAAATTGAGCACTATATCCTGTCTTATTTTCAAAATATAGCACCTGCTCCAAACGCTTTAAGAGGCTGTCAGATTTTTTTATTTAAAAATCTGCACTCAAGAAGCAATTTTAATGTGGTGAACTACAGTGACTGTGTCTAGTTTTTGTTGTTTGGTTTTTTTAAACATATTATCTAACATGACAGATAATAGTCAAAGCTGACCTGACCTTAAAGGCAGCCAAAACAAATAACTAAAATGGTTTCTTGCTTGTGCAATGAGCCACAAACCCCACAAAATATGCAAAATCGTTTTGAAAATATCCCACGTGTGTTTTTCTGTGAAACAGAGACGCGAGAAATTCTTTTATTTTGAAGCCCAGGAAAACCCCGGCCTTCCTCCGCTAATTTCTGCGCGTTGAACATTTTTGCCTCTTTGTCCTCCCAGCAGCAGCTGATCAAAGGCTGAAGTCTGCAATCAAAAGCTGAAGTGGTCCAGAGGCTTGAAGCAGACTGAGATGAAATGAGCTGCAGGCTGCAGGATGTCTGCAAGAAGCCAGTCGCCGTCCGGATGTTCACACCAAGCAGCCAGAACAGTGATCCAGTCAAGTGACTCAGAGGTCAAAGTCTAGTGTGACTTACTGTCTTCTTCTAGTTTTGTTTTCCGCACTTTGGATCCTTTATTGAGTAAAGAAATAATTTAATTCTCTGATATCTGATCAACATATTCAAGTGCAGACACCTCCTCTGATGGGACTAAGGTGCAGAACGGCTGTGGCAACATGGAAAGTCAATTTAGTTTTAGAAAAAGGTGCAGTTTCGATTGTTGCAGATCGATTCTTTGGGTTCTTTGCCGTGTTCCTCGAGCTCGTCCTGAGCAGTGCTTGTGGTGTGGTCGGGTCCGCCGTCCTGCTGGGAGAAGCCACTGCTGTCTCATGTCTTGTTGTCACGTGCTTGTGCTCGGTCTGTTTAGGTGGGTGGCACATGTCAAAGCAACATCCACATGAGTGCTCGGACACCAAGGTCACCCAGCAGAACATTGCGTTGTAATTGATCAGTGTGATTCACTTCACCTGTCTGAAGTTTTAATGGTGTGGCAGCAACACATTTGACCTTAAGCGACCTCTGTCACTGAATGTCACAATTGGTGGTTGTCACCGCATCTGTAAGCGAAGTCACAAGGTGCTTGAGTCACCCGCCCTAAATCACATATTTTATCCTTACAAAGTGTGTACTGACGCATGCAGCATGTCCTATATACAACTGGGATGTACTACTTCGTCATTGCGCCTTAAGCTTTGATTGACTAGCTGAAATATCCACTGCAGTCTGCATTTCCAAATGAGCTCTCACCTGTCTGTCGGCGCTCAGCAGCTCAAGACACTGTGACATAATTCCGCTGTGCAGAGGATTGTGGGTCAGAATGGCCAGAAAAATCAAACTGGCTTGTGTACTGCAAAATCAGAACAGATGTAGGAGGACACCCTGGTATTTTTAGCATCCTGCATTTGACATACTTCGAATTGGGACATAGTACATCCTTTTCTGGCATTCTGTAATATATGGTAGTTTGGGCATTGGAACACCTTACATCACTGCAGGAGGATGAAAACTGAAAGCACTGGTGACTCTTTAAGACATGCAGGAGGCTACACTGCTGTCATAAAACAGGATATTGTGAAATTATTCACAATATAGGATATATTAATGACAGCAGTGTGTTGCAACCTGCACGTCTTAAAGAGCTACCAGCGCTTTGAGGATGAAAACTCAAAGCGCTGGTGGCTTTTAAAGACATGCCGGTTGCAGCACTGCTGTCATAAAACAGCGTATTGTGAAATTATTCATGGTGGAAAATGTCATTATGAAATAAAATAAAAAGGCAATAAAAAAGGCAATTTCAAATCAATTCTATCGTTCATATAACACTGATGTAAAGATGATGGTATTACATGAGGTGAATTATAATAGCTCGCTTTTTTGGGCAATTTATTGGTTCATTTTACAGCACGGAAGTACTTATTTTATCTTATTTTATATTTATTTTTTAAAATCTTGAGTGCTTTACGGCTCCACGCTTGCCACCATCAAAGGATAGGTACCGTACGTGCTGCATTAATATTAACCTTAAAGTCTTCCAGGACACCAAAGTTCTACCACGGTGTGTTATCACAATCAACCGCAGGAACAACTGTACGGATTAATTTGAAATCTTAAGTACGGTAATTATTCTCCTCAGCCTCGAGTATGAATGTGAGTTCTTCACGAGCCTCTGAGAAATATGATTAAGGGCTGAGATGATTGGCTTCAGCGTGATGACAGCTTTTCAGGGAGAAACAACTCTCTGCTAAGTGAATTAGCTGTAATTACTTTTAATGGCTGAAATGAGCAGGCGGCTTTGTAAACAGACATGGAGGAAAATTCAGAATCTCCTTCTGTTGCGCGTCATTCCAATGAAATGTCTCGACATCATGCTATCTGTTTGATCTCCACATGATACCGAACACAGATTAAAAGTTTTGTTTTTTTTTTTTTTTTCCCCCCCTGCATCACAATAGTCAGGTTGTGCCGGTGGAAAACCAAACTGCCAAGTGCACAGATGAGACCTGGGTATTTTTAGAAAGCAAGTCTTCTGCTGCCTAAAGCCAAGTGTGGACTGGTTAATATGCAGGCTGTGTCGTCCCAGGGATCGAGTGACACCAAAACGGAGAGGTGAGGCAAAACCCCACAGGAGCCGGTGTGAAGTAAATGCTCTGAAAGAACGCAACTGTGAAAAGTTGAATATTTAACAGGCTTCAAGTGGATGTGAAACGCACTGGGGGAAACGGACATGTGAATTACGTGAGAGTGTTCGTGTGAGCGAATTTTGTTGAGCAGCGATGTGTGATCATGTTTCCTGAAAACGCTGAATGAATTGTGAATGCATTTCATTCAGTTGCAGATTCAGCTGAACGATGAATTATCACTTCCAAGGACAAGGACTGTATCAGCTGAGTGATGGAGCTTTACTTTTTTTTTCTTTTTTTTTTTTAAACGCCTGACAAAATTGCTGATTCTTGTCTGGAAAGATGATGTTTTTCCAGGAAAGTAGATCAATAATCCAATTGTGAGAATGATGGATATAAAGAAACTCCACATTCTGCTGATGTTAAAGACATATTCAGCCCAAGGTTTGCTTTAATGAAACCATCTTCTGCAATGAACATTTCACTTCAAGGCTTCTCAGAGAAAATATGAAATTATAAATTCCACAATGAAAGTCCATCATCTCTGATAACAATTCAAATTTCCTTGGTGCCATTTTATTAGCAAAATTGTTGTGAATAAATGAACTTTAACACCAAGAAACTGTTTTTCCTCTAAGACACATCTGAACGGGCTAAAAACGGGCTTTCTGCTGAATTAAACAGCAAAGACTGTGCACGTGTGTTTGAATTTTCCTCCTGAAATTCATTTTGTCTTCTTGGTTTTTGGCCTTTTTGTCTTCGTTCCTGATTTGGTGGCCTCATCCTGTGAAACAAGAGGACACGATTAGAGAATCAAAAGACGAATGACTGTGTTACATTAGCACCCCATTTAATGGTGCCGAAGCTTTTTCCATGGTTAATAATCGAGTACTACTTTCCAGCTCATGACAGACTCTTTTGCCCAGTCTCCCGCTGAGCCTGCAAATGTGCAAATTATAATGCACTGATTGACACGCACCATACTGTTTTAATGTATTCCAATAATTGCATCAAACTAAACACTGCATCCCTAAGTACTCTTATAAAACACCCTCCACTAATGATTGCCCTGACAAACCAGGCTGCCAATGTCTATATCTCTGATGGCTCTGATGTAATATTCATATTCATTTTATATTTATATATATGTATATATAACTCATGGTGTTTGCAATTGTTTCCGAGACTGCTGTTCAAATTGATGCTTTCCAATTTGGGTTGGGGTTTCCCTGCAGACACAGTCAACAGAAAGTAGCCTTGTTACTGTTTTTAATTAGCAACTCACACACTGCAAAGTAACTGGTGGCAACCTTTTATCTTCATGTGCAACATTCGGCTCTTTTTTCTTCTTTCTGACAATAGTCCATTCAATCCAGGCATTCAGACATTTTATCCAATTTTGCATTTGCTTGTAGCAAAACATTTCCCTTTTTCTGTTCCTCAGAATTACTCAGCATGTCATTTTTCTTGTTGTTGTCCTGCTCCCAAGGTACACTTTATCTTAGAAACACTGGGGGGGGAATTACTGACCTTTGCATATACTGACAGGATAAGACACTGAGACAGATTTTGCAGCAACTGACCTGACGGTGGACAACAAAATGTTTTGGGTTGCTCAACATCTCTTCAGATTAAGATTAGGCTGGTGTATCTCAAGGGTCAATTCTGGGTCCTATTTTGTTTTCTTGTATATACACCAATCAGCCACAACCTTAAAAATCAACAGCCTACTATTGTGTGTGTCACCTTTGTGCCACAAAAGCAGCTCAAACCCATCGGGCCATGGATACAGGATCTCTGGGGGTGTCTAGTCAGAACGTTGGCAGCAGATCCTGTGATCCCCCATAGATACTAAATCTGATTGGGATCTGAAGAGTGTGGAAGTCAACCTAATGACTTGGGCTCTTTCTTGTATTCCTCAATACGTTCCTGATCAGTTTTTGTGTTTTGGTGTGGTGCACCAACTCCTGCTAGGAGAGGCCACTGATGTTGGGGAGCGCTGTTGCTGTTGGGGAATCGTGCTTGGTTTGGAGTATTTCGGTGGGTGGTACATGTCAAAGTAACATCCACTTGAATACCAGGCCCCATAACATTGCATGATTAACGTGTTTCACTTCACCTGTCAGTGGTTTGAATTTTGCAGCTGATTTCTTTTTCTTTACTTCAATGTCAGCCTGTCGGTCAGTCCACCTCTTTAGTCTACACTTAGGAATCTTGACAACTATGGGATGGTTTGGCACACCTAAGGGAGCAGTAAAGCACTGAATGTGAAGGGCAATGTCCCTAATCTGCATTTGCAGCATAATCTTTTGCCTACTTCTCTCTCCCCTCTCTTTCTGTCTTCTCTCCACTGTCTGCTGTCTAATAAATAGTAATAATAATAATAATGATACTTTATTAATCCCTTACAGAGAAATTCCATTCACAGTTACATCCGTCCAAGAAACATAAAGACAATAACTGGGGGAGACAGGAACTTTCGGGACTGCCAGCAAAGCCAGCGCCCTTATCAATTAGAGGAAAAAGGAAAACAAGAGGAAAAAATGAGCATGAAAGTCAAATAAATAATCAACTATGGAGCAAATGAACATGAAGTTTTGTACATTCATTGTCCCCAGAGGATGAATCTCACATTAGTGACTTGTGCCACCAACAGGGGACACTTGTGAGATGTCTCCATATTTATTAGATAGATGGCTTTGAAATTTTGTTCCGACAATCTTGTTTTCCTCAGGATAGATTGCGATAACTGGTCTGACTCATAGCGCTACCACTCGGTACCAATTTTAGTTTTAGTTCATGACCAAATACCTCCAACAAACTAAATATATTCCAATCAGTCTCAGCTGTAGTTGATGCTAAGCTTACACCTTCTAATGACGCCTACTAACCATCAGCTCTCTGAAGAACTGCCTCGTGGATAAACATAAAAATAAATAAGAATTATTGCCCAGCCTGTGCTGTCCTTTGCAATATTCAGCTGCTGACAAAACGCCTTGACAGCTTGACCTTTAAACACTGCATGGCTGCCTTTTTAATAATCTTATGTGCATAGCATACACTCACTCTGCCATTTTAATGCCAATGAAACTATTCCAAATGCTTTACTTCCTCTCTTTTATCTTAGTATTTACCATGTGTCTGCGCAATTGACCGCCTTAATCAAAAAGCTTTTCATAGTGGCTTTTGGTGACCTCGGCCAAATAAGAGCCATTCATTTTCTAATTTAATCGATTTAAGCTTAATTGTTGAAGTGTTTCGTGAGCTGGAAATAAGTCATTCTGTAGAGGTGCTAAATCCTCCATCCTCTGGCATCCGCTTCTAATAAGTTGTCACCGAATCTGGGTTTGATGTCCAGGGAGAACTGAGCCTTTGCTGTCAGGATGGAAATGAAATCAAGAGCTCATTTTTAAAGTCGGCTGATGGGGTTTTAAAGTAGGATACTTTCAAGAGTAGGTTTGCAGTACCTTTAATCTACCTGTGGCTGCCACTCAAAGGTCAATCATGTTATCAATGGAATAACTCTGCAGAACACAAAGACGACTTCAAAGCAGACGAGACCTAACTTCAGGCTGGTGAAAGCGCGTTTGATCTCCAGAACATGTGGCAACCAGACACTTCAAATGAACCAATATCTTTAATGTGACAGCTACTGAAGAGCTACTGTGGAAACACAAGTCATGCCGAGCAGACACTCCATCTTTCTACAATAAACCAATGTCTCACTGTAACTACATACAGTACTGACTGACAGCACCGCTCATGGTTTCTGACTCATTTGCCAGAAAGAAAAATTAAAAGAAAATCTCATCTACAGTCATGTGTTCCCAGATAACTGGACCAATATTAGGGTGTAAGTCAATTAAACTACAAGATACCAGGTGGTTTCCGGCATGAGAGAACTGGCAGCGAAGTCAGATTTGACTGATGATGTGTCAGTGGAAGATGACAGAGCGATATGTTGAAGGACCGGAGAGTGTCTCACCACGGAGGCAGTGTATCCCTCCTCCACCAGGATGTTTCTTGCACAGTTGTTAATGTGTTTGAAGCGGTCAGGACCCAACAAAATGCCTCCGTACCAGCGGGACACGACCACCATGACATTACGCACGTCCAGAATCTGTGGCGAGAGACATGAGAAATGAGTGTGAATTCGAGAGAGACAAAGACAATAAATTGTGACTCAACGCCCGTCACTGGCAGCCATTCCCAAGCAGCCAAATATTTCACACCAGATGTAATACTGTGGACGAATCTTCTTTAAGTGTTTCTGTCTCAGCTGACAGCCTGACAACTCAACATTTGGGAGGGTATTTCCCTGTTTTGCTGCCATCCGTAGGGTTAAATAGGAAGATTTATTTAAATTTTTTTTATCCCTGTGTGGCTCCAGGACATATTTTAGAGAGATTAGGACAGAAACTGAGGATTTAAAATTTCAATTTAATGATATGTAAAATTATGGAACGGACAGATAAACATATTTGTAAAATACTCCAAAATAAAACAAAAAGTATGACCTCAAAGAATATAAATATAATCCTCAAAACATTGCAGGCAGAAAAATGAACAATTAAAGCTGCTGTCATCTATTTTTTTATAATAACAACAAATCAAACAACTACGTGTGTGAAAGGGAGCTTGTTACTTGTCAGAAACCCACAGGTAATAATCACCCAGCTCCGCAGCTCCCCTCAGCTATTTGGAGCATTTTGATATTTTTCAACGGTGTTGTTTTGATTTTCCTGCCAGTTACTTTGTTGTTTTGGTGCTCTCATCAATGTCAATGCCCATCAGCAGCAGGCAGGCAGCTTTTTTTCCAGCGCTCCCTGCCCTGGAGCTGGCGATGAGCTGTGGAGTATTCAGCAGCTAAAGAGTCCCATATTTCCCTCAGGATTGGGTATGAAGCAAAACCCTGTTAAAAGGAGAGTGAATATTGAACTTATTCAATGAGTGGCCAGAAACACGACTCCAAGTGAATGCTAATGTTGCTGTGTATCTGTTGGATATGCAAATAGGAAACTGCTAACAGAACTTGGTGGTAATACATCATTTTTGCATTTAAAGCTTGTTTGTGCTGCCCCAAAGCAGCCAATAAATCAGTTAATGCACATTGAAAAGACAACAGCTGGTCCAGCTTCGTCGAAGGTGTGCTCTAATATCTTTGCTTAAAAATTAGGGTAAAAAAGGCTTGAGGGGTTTGGTAATTTTAACAGAGGCTATTTTACCTGTTTCTTTGAAGCAAGGAAGATTTTGGATTTAACAGCTGATATACGACCCTCCAAACCCTCGACCGAAAGAATGAGATCACAAATACGATCTGCTGAAATGGATTTCCTTCATAGGGTGCCGCCTTCGGGATAGGGTGAGGACATTAGAGCATCCGGAGGGAGAACGAAGCAGGCTCAGCTAAAGGAAGATGAATGTCTGGAACGCCCTGCTTAGCCTGGTGCCATCACGACCCAACCCAGATAATCAGAAGTAAATGGAGGTCACGTCTGCAGAAAATGCAAGATTAACTTAATATTTACTGAATGTCCAATAACAAATAAGCACATTTTCCAAAACGCCAGGCTATACCCTGAAAATGAAGAAGAGAATTTGACCCCGGACTGCAACACATGCACGAAAAGTACAATCTGTCATTCGAGAGGTCTCGTCCACATCTGGCCGTCGACACTATCAAACAGATCTTTCTTTTATTCATCACCTCACACCTCCTCGTTCATCGGCAGAAAGCGCAAGTCTAAATGAGGAAACGGGAAGAAAGGCTCATGGAGAGGAATGAAATTAGACGAGGATAGATTAAGGAGAAGGCTCTTCATGTAAATTGCTCGGTACGCTGAGAGTGTCACAAGTAGAAGATTAATCAGCGTGTTGCTCAGAAGGACGAGCGCTAATGCTATCTCGTCAGTTACAGTAGGTCAGCGAGCCGCAGGAAGTGACCTGAGTGTGTCTTCTAATCTGCTCTTATGTCCACATGGGTTAGGAAAAGCAAATATGAACGGAGGGCGCTGAGTTTGTTTATCAAATAAATGCACTGACAGTATGGTTTCATCGCTATGTTTAGAAGATTTTTAAATTGTCAAAAAATAAATAGGACGGTCATTTCAACAGGCCACTTGAAGGCAGCACATCAACATGGCTATATTGTGCTGATTCGGTGAACTAGTTAGAAAACATCACCATTACAGATGTCACGATCTTTTCCTTTTTAAATTTTTTCTCTTTTTTTTGCCCCCGATCTGATCTAAGTTAATATTCAATATCAGCTGATACCAACTCCCAATCTGATACCATTGTCCTAAATGCTGCAAACTTAAGGTTTGGATGATTAGCTCTAGTACCTGGCTGAGTCACCAAGTGTAGCCATCAGAGTAGAGGGGCAATTCCTGAGTAGAACGTGTGCATAGACCCGGAGGCTGCACTTTCAGGACCACACTTCTAGTACCCATGTTGGATGATTCGCAATGACGTCATTTCTAGCCAAGATGAATGATCGTCATAGTGGAAGCATTGACTATGAATTAAGTTTAATTTGTTTAATGTTAAAAGCTGTTTTATGTTTGAACTCATCATTCGGCACCGCAAACCATCATGTTGTAGCTCATGACAACATGCTGCAAACCAAAGTCTGAGCTTGTTTGCTTATTTATTGAAGTAAGTAAGAAGTTGCGCACTTAAATGATTATCCATGGAGATAGGTGGTGCTGTCTCTAAACAAAGTGCACTGGACTTGAAGTGTGGTCCCATGAGTACGACCCTGAATGTGCAGCCTCTGGTGCTGCAGACACATACTGTTGCAGTTCCTTGCTGGCAAGCAGAGAGCAATGTGGGGGCTCAGTTAGTAAAGGGGCACCGTGACAAAGTCTTCTGTGACATTTAATGACCTACTGCCAGCACACTTCTGTTAAAACAGGCCAGGATCAACAAGGACAACATGTTTATATCCCCGTCACATATGAATCAACAACTTTATTGACTGAAACACGGCCGTGGCTTGAAATGGCATCGTCAACACAGTGCACATGTCCAGTATGCTCATTTGCTATTATAAATTAATCAACAATGGATTGTCAATCGTAGTAATTAAGAAAATTACCCACATTTCTGACACTTGTTTGACAGCAGACGCAAACAAAGGAGAAGATTAAGGTGGATACTAATCTGCTAAAAATTGCCTTGATCAGCCCAGATATCCCTTATAATAGCTTGATGAGACACTGGAGCCATATTTTTCATAATCCCTCTCCCTACCACTATAAAAACTAGAGTGGATACATTAGTGGTTCTCCTACTTGACTGCAAATTATTACACCTGCTACAACCTAGAGTTTGCTGGTTAGCTATGCTTTCATCCAGCAAATGCATCTTCCCTGAATGTCAGAGTTTGCAGAACAGCTTGGTCTGCAAATTCTCTATTAGCTCTTTGATGGAGAGCTGGGGATTATAACCAAGACCTGCCTCTGCTGGGACCATTTTACACCAGGTGCCAACATTTTCCAACTGAGATTTTCACAGATTTTGCTTCTTCTGGTGACTGGGACCAAACTGTCTCTCTCCTTGTCTCCACCAACGGGTGTAAGTAGCCTTGTGTGCTCAGTTTGTAGTAGTATAGGAGGTAGTAATATAGTAGATGTCCACAGCTACAAATTGCAATAGATATGAATATTGCACGTCTACAGTGTATTTAACATCTTATTTGTTTGGTTCTGTTAAAACTAAATCAGGCCTTTTTGCATGGTTAGTACAGTTAATTTGGGCTGTTGTGAAAGCTTTTAATTGTCGCCTTCAGCAGATACACCCCCTGTATGTCAGAGCAGAGCAGTTATCCTTACCCCAGCCGGCCGAGGCAGATATTCTGCCCTCTTTAAGCCCAGTTCTGCCAGACATTATTTCCTGTTAAATAAGAGTTGGGTTTTTTTCTATCAACTGCTGCCAGATGTTTGCTCAAAGGGAGTCATTTGGATTTGTTGGGTTTCTCTTTGCAAGGTCTTGACCTTAATATGTGAACTGAACTGAATTGAGAACACTGCTTATTTTTTCCACCATTTTGAAACCTAGCTTCGTATACTTTTTTAAATATTCAAATTTGGATGACTGGTTAATAACACATTTTTCTGCGGGGTGACGAACAAAACTGACTTAAAAGATACTGAATTGCATCAATAAAGCTAAAAGGGAAACACAGAGGTGGCGATAATTGACTGTGGGTGTGTCACTAGAAATGACGCTTGTCGCATTACACAATGTTCTCTGACTCATATTTAATGGAAAAATAATGATTACTGGAGCGATAATGCAAAGTGTCATAGAGATATACGTACTTTCTGCCTGGGTTGAGGTGTTACAAGAAAGCATTAAAAACGGAGACAGTACTTTACATGCATTCCAGATATTTAATAGAGCGCTTGTACTTACAAAGTTTCAACATGATTTTTTTTTTTTTCCATTTCTCCGAAAGATAATTTAAGCCAATTAGAGCCAAGACTCGCTGAGCCGAGTGATGTGTTTTTTAAGTGGCTGACTGTTTTGGAAGGGAACACTGCATTAGTCAAAGCTTGATTCATCTGAATTCAGTGCAGCAGATCTCAATTTCTGGCATGTCCACACTGAGAATCTGAAACACTATCTCTCCAACAGGGCCACACAGGCATAGACGACGGCTGTCATCTCATGAATGAGTATGAACTTTGACATGAGTCATGGATCTCATCTGGAAAAGCCCTGACACGACGCGGCACCAACTGGTAATGAGTCTGACAGAACTGCTACAAGTCACCGCCGAGCTCTGATTACAGCAAACTTTTTTGTTTTGTCAGAAACCTTTCACTGGCTTTCATTCAATATTACGTGGAAACAAAAAGTGTGTGGACAATTGTAGCATTTCAGTGTGATGTGGGTGTGTGTGAATCATAGTGCCATCTGACAGCACGATCCAGTGACAAGTGCCTCTTTGAAATGTGAAATTAAAGCATTGATAAGTGTGCGAAATTACTATCGTGGGACCAAAGTTCTCTGTAGAGGAAATTTGCACATTATGTAAACACAAGTGGTGTGTGTTACAGTCATTTCATTTCCCCTTGTAAAACCATAAAGACTCAATTGCTCTGCAGTTACAGTTTTACAAATAAGTACAATTATCTAAACTAATATTTGGCTCTGTCAAAGGGATGAGCAGTTGCAGCATTTCACATCGACCTGGCGTCTCAAAATCAAACCTAACAGACGCAAAGAAATAAATTAAATAGTCTGTTTATTAAGAGCTTTCAAAATGATATAATAAATGTTAGAATCTTTTAACATACTGTGCTGATTTCTGATGAAGCATGGGTTTTTATTCTAAAAGCTTTGACCACAGACACTTAACACCAGACTGTCAATTAATCATTTAATCCATCAGAGAGTCAACAACTTTGTCAACAGTTTGATGAGTTGAACTCATTGTTTTAGTTGTTTTTCACACATTTTTGCTGAATTCAATTCACTTTGGCAAACATGAGTATTTCCTACTTGTATTGATATTTTATCATTGCAATTTGACCGTAAAGACGCATCAGTCTGTCAGCTCCATCATCAGGCCAAATTTTGAACACCTGAGCAGTTGAATTTCCTTCAGCCTCAACTTTCCTTTGTGTACAGGACCAACTATAAACCTCATACCTGCTATATCAAAGAGTTGTGTGTATACCGTCAGGGCCAAAGCAGAAATAGACCAACAGCCTCTCAGAGCTGTGATTTGTGAATTCCTATGCTTGTCCACACTACTCTAATCGTCCACAACATTGAAAACACTAACAGGATAAGTAGTGATCAACTTGTAAAAAAGAAACTTTGAGAAACTAAGAACTGAGAAACTTTGGGTCCTGGCATTCATGTGGACTTTACTTTGACAAGTACCACCCACTTTAACATTGCGGCAGATCAAGCACACCCCCGATCCCCAACACCAACGGCCTACAGGACCTAAAGGATTTGACGCAAACCACCACCACAGGACACCCACAGAGGTCCCGTGTCAATTGCCTGATGGGTTATAGTTGTTCTAGCGACACAAGACAAGCCTACTTAATATTAGGAGGATAAGGTTTTGGCAGATTGATGTACCAACTGCACACAGTATACACTCAGCTACAAGCTTATAAGACACACATGGCTCCAAATAATACAGTCTAATATGTCAGCCATGCGCTTAAGCTCACTTTCATAAAGGTTGCTATTTACACCTTAAATGAATACTTTTCTAAAACTGTTTCAATAAAAACTGAGAGCTATAACCATCACAAAGGCAGAATTTGGCGCAGAATCATTGTATTAAACTGCAATAGTTTTACCAAAATAGACTTTCTATAACACTGTTTTTAGCTGCAGTGCAAGCAATCAAAACTGTTTTATGCAAAACATACTTGAGTGATGATTTATTTGCACAATCTGACATTAATAAAAATGTCTTTACAAATTACACTATTACAGTAAAGGACAGTTTTTTCTCCAAAAATGTAATATTCATTATTATTTTCAAAGGTGTTCCTGGAGCACTTTTATTAGCCTCCATAATTACTTCTAATGTTTTGCAGCTGCCACTTTACAAGTGAATATATTACTGCTTTAGTCTTTTATTCACACACATTTTCAGACTAATTAGAAAATTAACTGGAGTAATTACAATATTCAGATTAAAAAATAACTGCAGCCCTGCATCACAATGTACTAAACATCTATAGTGTCTTTGTTTTTTTTTCTGTGTGCTTTAATTAAAATGTCACTTGATCAAGAATGTCTTTATACTGAGGACACACACCGCCACAGAATGTCTCCGTGGTTACTGATGTGGCGGCTGCAGGACCGTGGAAATGAAGCAGCTAAACGTACTTCAGTCATTATACATTTTCTTTATTCACACCTGTGTGTAATGTCTTACGTGAAAAGGCCTTGTTTGCGTTGGTGGTGTAATACACACCTTCAAAACCGATGGTGCCGTCCTTTTTTGTAAAACCTGGCTTTTTCATTAAAGAACTCATAATGTGCTTTTCAGTGTTGTTGGGTTTTTTTGCCTTTTTCCTTGTGCATGTAAAATATCTGTAAAGTTGCGAAACCCAGCATCAATGACAAAGGGAGTTACTCACAAAGCATCTGAACTGCCTGCCACGGCTCATTAGAAGTCCGGGTTTTTATTCAGTCACCTTTCTACATCACCATGTGACTCATTTGCATAACATCTGCCTTGCAGCGAGCATGGCATACCCTCAAACTATAAAAGAGCTAAAATGTCTGAGTGACAAGCAAAGCATGTCAAATATCTTCATGCACTACTGACATCTGATGAACTTAAAACACAGCTAGATTATTTTTTTAATGTCCCCACAATAACAGGAAATATATCTTCACTGTTAGCACACTGCGCAGCTAACATAGCTGACATTAGCTTTGATCGTAGGGCAACAAGTCAGAGTTCTGTGGGACATTTAGAAACTGATTTGAAACCAATAAAGAAGAACTTGGTGGGCTGCTGTGTTTTTATGTCGACTTTGGTGCTTCAGCTTCACCTCTACTGTGTTTTTGCTGTCCTTCCCTGAGGGGACGCATGTTAAAAGTAAATGGAAATGATGTAAATAACTTAAAAAATGGCTGCCCTATTGCATGAAAACTTTGTGTCGTGTGTAACGTAACTACTTCTACAGCAATCTCTCCTTGTTTTGGGTTTGATTTCGGTGCAAACATATTAAATTTTGTTTTCACCAGCTGCTCACCAATCAGAGCAAACTAGGCTTTTATTTTAGGAGGGCAGCCTTAAAGAGACACCAGCTAAAACAAAGCATTTCAGACAAAGGGTGAAAAGAGGTGTTAAAACAATGTAGTGAGCCAAACACCATGTAGAAATATTCTAGCAGACCCTTAAAAGAAAAATAGGACTCTATATATAAGCCTGATATGGGCTCTTTAAGAGTACATATTGTAGTATATACAATTAGTATATACTGTTTATGAAGTTATATCTCATTTAGTACAATATATGTCCTGAAATGCTTACAATAGTCTGTGGAAAGCTTTCTACTGATAACAATCCCAGTTTAAAAGCCACAGCGGAGTCCCAATTATGCAGAATGTGAGAATGAGCATGGCAGCTTAGAACAGAACACCAATTAAGCATGCAATAGCCACAAGAAAGCCAAACGGGCTGCAGATTTAACAATGTGGTTGTGATATGAATGCTGGGCAAAAGCTTTGTGTGTTCTGCATTGACTAATTCATCAGTTCAGACGTGCAGTTTTGCATGCAGAAGAAAGAGCGATCTGTTCGGCTGAGGTGAGAATTTTCTCAATGAAATGATAACCTGCAGCAAATGGAGCAATCTCCCCCCCGCGGCTGTCTCGCCGTCGTCTTCACAGTCCTGCAGGAAGCTGCGCTTGTCCTCGCAGTAAATCCTACAACAGACACAATCCCAGCAGCTAGGAATTAGGCGCAGGAGCATCAAGACATTTTTTTTTTTTGGTGGCAGAATGACATCGCGACACCGGCCGCCTCTTCACCGGAAAAGTTTTTTAAGTGCTCTAAATGTCAACATCTCCTCCCTGTGAGTAATGACCACCCAGGCAGTGCATCAGCAGCTTCACATCGACCTCATTAGACCACGCTAAAAAAACTCTTTCACACACACTCACACACACACACACAGAAAGACAGCACACACACACACACACACACTCACACATATCAATTCACATAAAGCACAGTACTGTCAAACAGCCTTCATATTCTCGGGTGCTTTTTTTTTTTTTTGACCTTTAATTGCAGTAATGTGCCCTTTAGAGAAGATGGATGGGTCTTGAATCTTTACTTATCTCATGTTCTTCTCCACTAATGAGACACTAAGACACACAGTAACATAACCCTGAGGGCATCAGCATAATTATTACATAATAAAGTCATGAAGGATGTTAGATCATATATATATATGTGTGTATATATATGAGACCAACCTGTATGCATAAATATTATGGGTGGCACTCGCAATCTTCTTGTTTTCACACAGCTTCTCCAGGACCATTTTAACCTGCAACACATGACAGGAGAAATGCATCTTATGACTCTCTCTCATGCACTCTACTGTATAAAGCTGCTAACACGAAGCTCTTGTCCTGCGTACTACTTCAGCACAGTGTGACCTATAAACCGTTTTCATACTAAAAGCCTGAGTGGATGCATCCACTCTGGAGTCAATTTCAAAACCAAGACCGACTAAAAAAAACTGATGCTTGATGACAATTTCTGAGTTCAACATGCTGTCTGGCGCTGCTGACTAATGCACAAAGCAGCGTTAGTCAACTGTTTACGAGGGTAAATTTCATCTCATATAAATAAAACTAAGATTTGAAAGGCTTAAAATGTAATAAGATTTGTGTTTGGCACCTCCTCTGCATTTCTTTCATGTTTGCTTCCCTTGCAGGCTGATTATAAAGCTAAACTTGTTTCTGTATATACATACGCCCACCCATGACTTTATTAGTTCCACCTGTGAAATGAACTGCAATCTAATACGACAGCTCTGCCATAAGTTCTACTTTTGCAAAGCTTCTACATTTTCAGTTCTTGTTGACATAGTCAGAAAGAGGATATTTGTACTTTATGTTTACTACTGACACCCTTGTGGGTGGTGGTGGGGTACTGGACTGGATAACATGGAAACGTGTCAAATATTAGGTATTTCTCATGTATGTTTTGGACCGTATTGATGTCACATGTGAACCTAATAAAGTGGCCACTGAGTGTGTATGTACACATCAAGTGTTTTGTTTTTTGTTTGTTTTTTAAAAAGCTCTGCGGGTATGTATTATTTCGGTGGACTCTCAATGTGTTCAGTAAGAACTAAATCAATACTGCATCACAAAGCCAAATCTTACATAAATTTACTGTGTAAAAATATAAATAACTCAATAAATGATGAATAAACATTTTAAGAACTGATTAAAACTGGAAACATTCAATATAAAATGTTATTTTGTCATTCTTTCTTCAGGTCTTAGTAACTGATATCACAATTCGTGATGTCACTTGTTGGTTTGTGGACTGCAGGTATGAAGCCTCAAGGGTAGAATTTGGCCATCACTGTTTTGGTGTTTTAAAACCAGATGTAACTAGCGAGAGGTGTATCTGGCTGAAAACACTAAGACAATATGAGCGCCCATACAGTAGCAACCTGTCAATTATGTGGCTGCTACATCTTAAAACATGGCCTGCTTTATCATCTATTTTCATCTAAATGGGACAATAATTTAGTAAATAAACACTATGCTTGATTGAAGGAGGCTTGAAACTGACGGTTGAGACCATAAACACATCAGGAAAATGCTTACTGAGGCATCACATCAACTGAGAAATAGATTAGTTTTCTCACAGACTTCTTATTGCAACAAGAGAAGTCGCCCCCTGCTGGCTGCTAGAAAGAATGCAGGTCCAGTGCATGGACTGGGAGATAAATGTAAAAACAAAACAAACTTCAAAACAAACAAAACTCCAACAAGACAATAAAAGTGGGCTCCTTACACTGACTATATAAACAAATAAATAAGGCCATGATGGATGTTTTTTACAATTAATTTGCTCTCAGTGAAGCATTTCTTTTTCTTTTTTTTTTCTTAATTAAGTCTTCGGTTGAACAGAACACGAAAATATGTAAATCCTGACCAGGTCTCCTTCTATTGAGTTCATGTGCTCAGCAGAGGACAGCTGCTTCTGTAAATACTTGTTTTTTTTCCCAAATAGCACTTTGCAGCAGGTGGAGGCTTTTAAGACGAGCCGGTATATTACGGGAGAGCCAGAGAGGAAGATTTGCATTCAGGAAGGAGTCTGATGATGTTTCAGCTTATGATACCGCTGCGTAAATTTGCAATTTGCACATTTATATCCTTTCTCCTCTGCAAGACCCCGATCAAGCCATTTCTACCGAATCTCATATCAGCATTCAAAAATTCAAAGATGTTGTTGGAGCTATATGTTTTTACTAAATTACTTTTATTGTGCAAAGAGTTAGTGGCAAAAAAAACCTAAAACTTTCCCAAGCTGTACCTGTCTGGGAGTCACCACAGGGGCCAAATGTGGCTGGAAGGTGCTGCGTCGGTCTGTGACGGTGATTCCATGCTTTATCGGAGGAACCTCTTCATCTTAACAACAAGATTAACATGTAACAATCAGACAGACATGTTGATGTTGTCATAACTGAATCCAATGCAGTCAATACGAGCCGTACCATCTGCCTGATCCACGAAGAGATGTAGATTTTCCGTGTTCAGTTTGAGAGTCCTGAAATCAGGCATGTCTTCATCATCGTCATCCACGTCTTCCTCAGCCGTCATATTCACGTTTCCTGGTTGATCCACTGAAGCAGATCATGTAAGAAATGTTAGATTTTGTTAAAAAGAAAGCTTAAAAGTAAAATCCCAAACCTGGTACATTTTACAGAGCTGTTTGTAATCCACACCGCCTGTCATTAAAATGACACCTACTGAGCAAGTTATCACTAAATTACCATTACGTGACCTTAACGTTGATACTAAAATGCATGAAGTCGCCGACGTGGTTTCTGAATCTGCAAATTCGACTGAGCGGAGAAGCCACTGATTATTGAGAGAGGTTTGAGCTCAGTGATTAATCGCAACATATCGAGTGCAGAGCATTGAGCTCAGACACAAAGAGCAAATTACGGCCATGTTGTTATGGAAACAAAGGTACACTATGTTTAAGCCTAAATCAGCTGGTCGTTTATAGACTTCTACACTGATCAGCCACAACATTACAACCACTGACAGGTGAAGAGAGCAGCTTCCACTTTCTCTTTGCAAAATGTACCTGTCAAGTGGTGGGATTCATCAGACGGCGAGTGAACAGTTACTTTTTGAAGCTGACATGAAAAAACTTTGACAAGAGCTAAAGTGTGATGGCGAGACGGGTGGGTCAGAGCTCCTTCAGCGCGGCAGCTCTTGAGGTGTGTTAGTGGTATAGAGTGGTTAGTACATATCAAAAGTGATCTGAAGGAAAGACACCTGGTGAACCGGAGACAAGGTCATGGGCTCAGCGATGCATGTGGGAGGCGAAGACTTGCCTGTGTGGTCCGATTTCAAAGAAGAGGTACTGCAGCACAAACTGTTGAAAACCTCAAAGTGGCAATATCTGGAGATTTTCATTCCATAAATGTCTGTTAAGTCTATCGCCAAAGGATGAAACTCAGTAGTGACTGAGCCTATATGAAAGTAGTGCAACATTTACATATTTGCAGAACTATGAAGTGGGTTTTGTGGTGACATTTTCGGGGAAAGATGCTGTATTAAGTTACTAATGCAAGCGCTAATGTAAACCAAACATTTCCTAGTGCTGCAGCGTCACATTAAAACTACTGAACTGGTGTAACATTAGTTGATTAACTCTATTATGGAGGGAAATTATACTCAAGTGTATGTCCAAGTGAGTCATTTTAACGATGCCGTTACGTATATTTAGTTGATATGCTGAAATACGCAATCATAGAGGCTAAAATATAATAGCGGAGTGAAAACCATACCAATGAACTCTACTACATGATATATGCATATGAGAAAATGACATATGGGTCAGATTTTGTGGCTTATAAAGAAGTCGGTGGTCGGTATGTGAAGTCTGAAAGAAGGATGTTCTGTGAGTCCGTCATGTTTTATTCAGTTTGGTAGGAGCCTTTCTGTCGGCCTCAACCTTCAAATCACAAGATGTACCAAAAACAAAGATTCTACGAAGCCTGAAAGAATAATCACACACACACAGTACAGCGATGCAGCTCATGTCGGAAGGCGAGAGTCAGGTGATGATCAAACTTTGAGGAGGCCTACGGCGAGCGACTGGCCGGGTGAAGAATTGTATTTACGTGAATGTTTTCTTTGACAGCTTCAGTTGAACTCGACATCAGGTGGGTTTGTTGTAGCTACTCTGTGTGGGTGTACAATAAATCTACAAGCAGACTGAAGATCAAAGGCTGTGCTCCGTTTTTTTTTCCTTTTTCCTCACATCTTATTATTATTTGGTGTAACAGTAAGTGTTGTAGTCAGATCAGAAATAACCAACATTATGAAGTAATAACTGGAAATGCAAACTTTTTGCTTGTGAGCTTTGCACTGCTGTTCATCAAAAATGCATCTGCAAAGCGAAATAACAATCAGTTTCACTAGCGAATCGTTCTAAAAGTACTGCACGCAGTAATGGAACAAGAGTAAGTGGCCACAATAAGCTGGTAGAAAAGAGCTGCAGACCTCCAACTTCTCAGGAATGTAACCAACTCTGACTGCGCCCTGCAAACTCATGTCATGTGCACAAAAGGACAATTATTGCCTGAAATCTTTATTAAAATGACAATAGTTTGTTTTAAGCCAGTGATAAGCTGCATTTGCTGTTACCACCAGGAATTACAGGTGTCGCCAAATCAACCAGGACAGAAATCTTCAAGATTTTCTACGATAGCAAGGTTTCAGAAGACACACTGTCTCGTCCAGACCACCCAGATCGCACATGCTGACCCTCGTTCACCGCCTAATGCATCTTCAAGAGCATGTGAGCATCAGAACTGGGCTATGGAATAATTAAAGAAGGTGAATTGTGTTTTCCTTTACATCACGGCTGCTTGCGTATGTGTCGTTTACCCGGGGCAGCGACAGCAGCAGGAAGCGCTACGGGACGCAGCGAGATGCTCAGGGCGACGTTCAGCTGGGAAACCTCGGGTCGTAACATTAATGTGGATGTTACTGTGACACAGACCACCCACCTACACATAGCTGCAGGCCAATCATACCTGTTGATGGCAACGGGATTTGCATGTGGCAGACGCCTCTTTTAGGAGAACCACGTTTCTCTGGGTCAAGGTGCTGACTTGGCCTCAATTCATCAGATCTCAATCTGCTCGAGCATCTGTGTCAGATCCGCAAGCGCCTGACCTCGCGACCTCTAGGATTTAAAGGATCAGCTGCCTGATACCGCAGGACATCTTCAGAGTACTGTGCAGTTCAGGCCTTGACAGGTCAGAGCAGCAGCTGTATTGGCACGACGGCGACCTACACGTTATCATTCAGATGGTTTTAATGTTGTGGCCCGTTGGTGTACGAACTGTATGCATCTAGCAACACCATCACAACAAAATCTGCCAAAACGGGATCTGCATGCATGATTTCCTTCCAGCATCTGATTATGGTAAGCCAGTATCACATCCATTGTTAAAATCAGCTGCACAAAATGTCTGGCAGAATTTATGTGGAAATATACACTGGCAGAAGGTTTACATGGTTAAAAAAAAAAAAAAAAAAAAGCCTGTCTATATGCAAATTTTTTGTTATTCTCAACAAATCCCATGAAAATATCAAAACCAACAATACATTGCTCCATCTCTCAATACTTTCACAGCTTTTTTTTTGCAGCTCTCAGTCCCAGATCAGTCAGTTTCTAATGAAAAGATGAATTTAAACCAAGGGTCACAAATATGTACTTTCATTAAAAAAGCCCCAAAAAATAAAAAAAAATTACCACAACACCTGGACAATGCTGTTTTTATTCAAACAATGCTAAAACGCGGGTGGAGTGGTAATCCCTGTGTCTGTTGGGGACCATTTACAGCTGTGGATTATTACACATTGGGTGCTCTGGAGTATTTCTCTATGTGTGATTGACTAACAACAAACAGAGCAACATGTCACCCAGTGCATCAGTAAAGCTCACTGAAGTGTTCTAAGTAGTTTTTGGACGACAATCAAGAGCATAATTTCCATTCAGGAAATATGCAAATTCAACATTATCATAAAAATCACGTACCTTTATAGGGAACTAAGAAAAAAAATAAACTCTTGACAATAACAGAGAAACAGATTGTACCTGGCTTTGCATGCACAGTACCTGTTGGCCGTTTTTCAATAGATTTGATAATGAGGAAAAAAAACATTTGATAATTAGCAAAAAATGCAAAATACTGCGTTAATATTCTGCATGAGAAGTAGATCCAAAAAATAAAAGTTGCTACATGTTACATGACTCGAATAAAAGCTTTAACCTGAATCCACTGTGCCTGCTGTGATGATGTGAAGCCGAGTAATGAGCGCATTGCCCAGTTTATTCTGTGCATGCTCAGCACACGCGCAGAAGCCTCCCAAATTCATTACAAGAGGGTTTCATATTTAGATGAGCAAATACATTTCTTTCTCCGTCTTTTTTTTTTTGCTTTCTGCGCGGCTTCATTCACACCCATTATTTCTCTTTACTTTTCATGTTCTCTGTCATATTTACTCCCTTTTCATTTCCTTTTCTGTGAAACGTGCATCGTCGGCCTTATCACGGCCCCGTCCTTCTTCCTCTCTCCCACCACGTGCCTGTCATTTGAATGAATAAGCCATCAATCCCCCCCCCCCTCGAGCTGAAGTGCTCCTACCAGTTATACTTATTACCACATGAATCGCAGCGAGACGACTCATGACTCGCAACAATGGGGAGGACAGTTAATATTTTTCATGGCTTGTTGCTCAAGAGAAAACTGCACCGTCTGCCTCCCTAATGCATAGCGCTCAGGGCTAGATAACCGAGACAGACCTAAACCGCTGCGCCTCCCCTCCCAAAAAAAACCTAATTCTCTCTGGCACAAAATCTTTAATTTGGTACCTTTTAGTCTTTTTTACACCTCAAAAGATTCTGCCTGGGTAACAGAAGGCATTAAATAGATATCGATCTTAATTCAGTGCAGTCACTCAATGTCAGAGAGAGTTTTTTTTCAATACCCCTACAAGCCTTTGTGTTCATCTTATCGCCGCTTTAGAGCAGACCAGACAGTCGTGTAACTGATGGAGGAGCATCTTACGCCAACATGGATGGAAAATGCATTCAGACATATACGGAAGGAAACGTTTGATGTGAAAATTCACAAATAGTGGGTTTTTATCAGTTGTGGAGGTTATCGTTTACTCCAGCTTGTCGGAAAGCGTAGAACTGAGCGTTTGTTAAAAACCAACCAAAAACAGAGGTCGTCCCGTTGTAGCGGCACGCCAGTGAGGATTTAAATTCTCCACAAGCAGCAGCAATCACAGTTTAAAATTAAAGTCACTGTGTAAGCACCTTAAAGTGTCAACACCATCGAGGGTCAACAAAAAAAGAGCTTGTGGAGTTCTGGCCAGTAATACGAAAGCAGCGTTGCTCCGTGTGTGTCTACAGAGGGGGGTGTTCAAGTACATACAGGTATAGAGGTGATCTGCATCTTTGAACATAGTATAGAATTGTAACTATCAGACGTGCATGTGTTTTTACCCGTCTTCCATTAACATGCAGGTAAGTCAAGCAGCTCTCAGCGCGAGGACAGCAAACTTGCAGAGGACAAAAGGGGACTGGAGCACACTGATTAAATCACAGCCTTTAATTGTAATGCTGTGAATTAATCAGCGTGCTCCAAACACCTTTTGCCCTTTCAAAGTTAACTGCAACACTTTATTTTGTGTATAAACGCCTCTTGTAGCATGATATAATATATGTAGTCTTCATTAGCATATTTTAAATAAGTTTTTAAAGGGGTTTTGTTTCAAGCAAAACCTTCTGAAAACATAGAAAGGTCAACAGGAGACAGTTCACAGCCCGCATCGTGTTTTATCCTTGAGCAATAGCTGGTGCCTGAGTGAAATATTAATTCCCATTGTTTAAAAAAAAGAAAAAAAAAGGCGGCCACAATTAACATTTTAAGCCACAGATGTGACACGCGAAGGCAAAAAGATCAACAAGGGGCAGCGTCTGTAGCTGGAGTGGAGGCTTAGCCGACATTCAGCCCAAACCGGTGAGGGCGATGAAATGCACTCAGTTTTACACAGCAAGCTCTCCCGGACTGGTAAATGTCTATCAAGTGTCATTTCAAGTCATTATGTAGTGTGGCCTCAAGCATGAATTTCATTTTCCACACCTCACCTGTTTCAGAGCTCTGGGATTTCTCCACAAGGAAGTCTCTCATTTTTTCCACCCATAGGTAGAGGATGCTCTCCCCTGCGTGCTCCCTGTTGAAATTTAAATATTTTCCTGTGAGGGTGGCGCTACATGCAACAGAGATACTGCACAGTGGAAACAATAATGAAAAGCTTTTGTTGTGGCTGCTATCACTCCACGGCATCTCCTCGTGAAGTCATAAATTACGAGAAGCACTCACACATAGAGGTCTTCCAGGCTGTTTGCCAATTTGGCCCTCTCAAGGCCTCGCAACCACGCGGCACTACAAAAGCCGAGAACAAACACTGAGGTTATTGAGCAGGGCGAGGAGTGGGTTTCTGAGTGGGATGCTCCTCCATATTAAATTTGAAAGGCAAATGGACTTACTTGATCTGGTAGATGGGCGGAGCTGCGCTTGGATAATCAGGTGGGAGAATTATCTGATCAATGAGGGAAAACATCATCAGCTGGATTAAAAGGAAACGGCGAGGGCTGACACTCGTGATTGATATGCACAGTATTATGATTATTTCCATACTTGCAAACACGCTGTCAGCTTTGGCGTCTCCAAGTCGTCGGATATTTTGATGCAAAATATTCTGGACGCCTCATCTATCACGCACCATTCATCACCGTAGATAGCAGACAGAGCCTCGACCTCTTCAATCTATAATGAAGAAACAATAACAAAAGCAAAAACATTAATCACTCCAGTCTGCAGACAGTAATTATGGATTAATCCATAAAGTAATTACATCATTTGGAGCAGTGATGTACAGAAGACTTCAAAGTCTCACAGTACATATTTGTATAAACACAAAGAATTAAAAGAAAATCCTTTTAATAAAAATCCTTTAAAAGAAACTATAATTAGCCCCAGTTTGCGATTTGGATGTATTACCATTGTATTTGAGTCACGAAGCTGCTTTTTAAAAACATTAAAGGCCTCCGTGTGTCTTTTAAAGAAGTTGTTCTACATTTTCAGAAATATCCGGTTTGTTTGGCAGAGTTAGATGAGAAGATCAATTATTCTTGCATCTTTACAATAGCTAATTACTTTGCTTAGCATGAAGGTTAGAAGCCGGTGAAGCTAACCTGGCTCTGTGCTAACCACAACAAAGCCTCACAATTTACATTTTTACATTTTTTTTTTCGAGGGGGGGACAAGACCAATAACCAAACAAATAATCAAGTGCAAAACTTCCAGTGAAAGACTGAATATATATTAGTGTAGCCTATGGATTTCAGGAAATGAAACATAATGTAGGGCTGCAAGGTGGAGCAGTTGGTTAGCACTGTTGCCTCGCAGCAAGAAGGTTGCCGGTTCGCGTCCCGGTGGGGGAATCTTTCTGTGTGAAGTTTGCATGTTCTCCCCGTGCAGCGTGGGTTCTCTCCGGGTTCTCCGGCTTCCTCCCACACAGTCCAAAAACATGTTGAGGTTAACTGGTGATTCTAAATTGTCCGTAGGTGTGAATGTGAGTGTGCTTGGTTGTCTGTCTCTAAGTGTAGCCCTGTGATAGACTGGTGACCTGTCCTCCTGACCTTCGCCCTAAGTCGGCTGGGATAGACTCCAGCCCCCTGCAACCCTAGTGAGGATTAAGTGGTGTATAGAAAATGGATGGATGAAACATAACATGAAACACCAGTTCCCTTTGTTGACAGTCTTTATGGTAAGGTAAGCTAACCTCGAGCTTCTGTTTGTCACTGCTGGACGTTTTTGGATGGTTTTAGGGATCCCTGAACCTTGGTGTGTGTTCTGACCACAAGAACTAACCCAGTAGAAACTCTTTACGACTGTTTTCAGGGAAGAAAAAAGTTCAAGGCAGGTACATCTAAACAGCCATGTGGACAACAACGCATTTTTCTGCCCTTGTCGACTAGCAGTCTTTTCCTCTGTAACTCAGAGGTAATGTCCAATTTTACACTACAATGTATACAGAAAGGCTAAAAGGGCCAACATGTAATGCAAATATATGTGGCTCCAATATGATAACTTGCTATTGAGTGGCGCAGAGTAGTTTTACGGTGTTTTGAGGAGAGTCATAGGTGAGCTGGTGTGCTCGAGCTGCACTGAGTGGTGGATGTAGAAAGAGGCAAGGGCTTCACACATTTACATGTAAGTCATTTTATGGCAGTCAGGGATTATTTCAATGGAAAAATCTTCTAAAAATGCAACTCTGATACACAGACATGAGTTTCGAGGGTTTTTATTAACGACCACAGAGGGACTTTCACTCTGATTTATCAAAATGGTGAACTATCAGTGAAACAATTTTGATTTAACAAGATGGTCAAAAACTCTTCTGACCCTCTGGATAAAAAACTGTCCATTTGCTATGCAACAAAAAAGATGTACAGCTGTTTTCTAACATTTTACATTTTAATTTAAAAAAATAAATAAAATAGCATTTAGATTTTAGTTTTTTGTGTCCCCCAACGGAAGTCTCTGAAAATTGTGAAAAAGACTTCCAGAGCAGCGGTAATTGTTGTCAATGTTAATTTTCTCTCCAAAATTGGATGCTGAATGTCACGGCAACGCGTGAGAGACACACACTGGACGACAAAGACCCTGGCTATAAATAGGCCTTGTTTTGTGATGTTGTTAATTTGCGTCCAGTCTCTTTGCTTTTCCTTCCTGCGTTCCTGCGTCGGCTGCACTATGCACAGATGTGGAGCTTGTTGTGCATCGTGTTGCACCTGCTGAGCTACAAACATCACTTGCACATGTGTTAATGAATCCAGACATCTTGGGAGCAACCTGCAGTGTGCATGCAAGCGGGTTCCCTTTTATTTCATGGTCTGCATGTGCATTTTAATTATAAATGCCAGCACTGTGTTTGTCACATCTGCACACAACAGTTACCATTGGGCGTATACGCTCCCTGGAGGCCACCTTAAAATATTACAACAATTAGGCACTGAGATAGAAGCTGTCACATTTTCTTAACCCTCTGAACCCCAAATCCAACTGGCAGGTTAGAATGGCATGCTTTCATTTAAAAGCAGGTGCTAAAGTAGCACATTTCATTAATAAAAACACAAACTTTCAGCTTTCTGATGGTGTCTGAATGTATCATGCACAGGTCCATCATGAAAAATGACCAAAATCAGCTTGAAATTGTTGATATTTAATTTTTTCTGTTTGCCAGAAATCAACCATTTGCACCAGATCCTGCAAAAAAAAAAAAGTGAGAGTTTTCAGGTGAACTGCAGGCAGTGTTTACACAGAGCAGAGATTGAGAGGAAACTAAGACAAACTGGACCAATAAAATAAATGCAGAGTGGCTAAAAAACTGGTAAAAACAGGAGCAAACTGTTCAGCATGGTGAGACATCTTTCTAGGGTCAATGTGCACAGTAGCTTGAAAAACAGCTGGTTTATGGCGGCTGTAAAAAATGTAAATAGCAGTAAATATTTATAGCATGGGCTGCCATTTTTTTTTCTAATATTAGTAACACTTGTGGGCACGTTTTAAAATATTGTTCATGCTGATTCTGCTGTCATTCTTTTTTTCTTTCTCAAGAAGAAATGTCTGAGTTTTTTCTACTACTTAAGTCATGGTTGTGCTGTTTCCCTGTCGGTGCGGGACTTTAGACTGCACTGACAAATGAGCCGACATGAGTAAAACACACAGAGGAATAGTTCACTTTATCTGATAGGATTAAGTCAGAGCAAAGACTTTGAACTTACTTGAGCCTGTAGGTCTTCTTCATTGCCTGAATTTATGATATCCGCCATTTATCCACCTCATTATCAAGTGCAAGCTGCTAAACAATAAAATAAAACACTCCAGTAAGTTAGTCAGAAAAGGAACTAATGCAGGAGCGTGTGAAATCACTTCCGGGTTAGAGCAGGTTGGGTGCGTTTGTTTTGTTCTCCGGGGTCAGCCGGGAGTTTTCTGGCAGCGACATAATAAAGAGCAAAAACTAAATATTTGAGAGTAACCACAGTTGTATATTTAATATAGTTCTATTTTCTGATGAAAACTCCTAAAAATGTCCGTGAGTTGAATTTTGTATGTTTTCTTCTTTTATAATCTTTTATTTTGAAATGCCTGAGCGATCAGGCAGGTCGAGCTGCGCTGCAGAAGATCAGCTGATTTAAATGTAAACAGTCCACAGAGGCGTGTGTGTGTCTGTGTGTGTGTCAGTGGCAGAGAAACAGGGTGACACAGGCGCAGCTGTCTTCCAGCCTTCGGTCAGTTCAGCGTCTTCTCAAGCCGGTGGAGGTGAAGCTACGACGGGATGCGTCGGCCGACCTGCGCCGCTCCGCCAGCCCCGCAGTAGAGGAGGCTCAGGGGGGCTTAAAACATCACATGCAGCTTAACGGAGGCCCCGAGTGAGAGCAGCTCTGTCCAAATACACAGGATTTTTACCTGACGAGACTGGACTAGTTTTAGCAGTAAGTGTCTGTGCTCACTGACTGTCCTGCTTATTGTCATGTTTTATAACATCTGGCCACAGCTGCCATTGAGGGGCTCATTTAAAAAAAAAAAAAAAAAAAGGGTCTGGTAGCCGTTTCAGAAATTTAACTTCCTGCATTTTGGGGGACATCAATGCAGGAATTTGTGCCTTTTTTTCATCCATCTAAACTGCTGTCAAGTTTTTATTGATGAGGGAAAGAGCCTCACTCGAAGACCTTTCCCCTCTCATCCAGGAGGCTTCTTCACTTCTAACTGACTGACAGGGAGTTCCAGGTGTGGAAACCTGCTCACTTACTGTGAGAATAAACAAATAAAACTTGCCAAAAATGCAAGATATGTAACACATTCGTACTCACCATTCCTATAAATCATAAAGCTGTGCGTCTTGTACCATGCAGGAGGAAAACTTTTCTCTTTTTACAAGTTTTAATCATGCAACAGATCTCTAGAACAAAAGGCTGAGTGCTGCCAACAATCAGAACAGGGAGTCAAGGGAAAACCCGAGCTGTTTGTGGAAAGCATTCTTTCTGACAGGAATGATGCTGCCTTGAGTAAAGTTCGTTTCGTTCTCTAACTTCACTTGACCTGCCTAAACATTTGCATGTAATGTTTTAATATGACTGCGGTGTTACCGGGCACTGTGCCACATTCTAGCATTGTCTATACAAGAGTTGTGTTCAGACAGTCTGTTTGTGTAACCGTTTTTGCTTTTGGATTTGTCAAATGCCAATTCCAATTGTTACAAAACATTTAAACTTTTGTATGTGCAATTGGATGCAGACCAAGTTTGATTTATCAGCGGAACAGTTTGACAGCCCGTACATGTAGTTTTTTTGCTCTCAAAATTTCCCAAATTCTTAAGATCCGCATGCCTCCAGGGTTGAATGGCTGCCAGACTGTCTGGGGAGGGATCTCAAGACGGCATTCTAAGTTCCTGATAAGTGAAGATATATCGGGTATATACTGTGACCTCCAAATACAGCCCAATGTTTGCATGCCTTACGGTGTAAATTACTGCAACAGTGTCTGAGAGATATTTTCGTATCGGCTAACTGCGCTTAAAGCCTCAAAAGTAAACAGTTTGTAGGAAAAATGAGCCCTTTGAATAACGTCTACATCAGTGTGTAATCAGCGTTTTACTGCCACCACTTCTAGCTACTTCACATACAGTTAGATACTATTGTCAGACTAACCTAAGGGTTTAGCCCCCTCAAAAGATAAATGTGAGGGATTATGGGATGATTAATGGGACAGGAATAAAAACAAAACAAAGTTTTGTTTCAGAAGTGTTCTCTAGTCATTGCTTTTTGGGCATTTTATGGCAGTTATGTGGCTTTTTTTCTTTTTTAAACCTCAGACACAAGTACATCAAACTGATGCCTAAAATGATACCGGAGTAAATGTTTTTCTTTCATAGTCTCAATCATAAGCATGGAACAGGACGTAACTCATAATCACAACCTTTCCACTGTTGATTTATTAATTTGTGGTAATGTCACAAAATAACAGCAAATGCATGTTTCAGTTTTCAAAATCAAAATGTGACATATTTCACCGCTCGGCTTGTCTAGTATTTTTTTTAAGGAAAATAATTAACAGTATATTAACAAATATATATGCATATATTTGACTTATACATGACGGAGTTTCTGTATGTGTGTGTGTGTCTGTTCTTTGTCTTTATCGACAACTGTTCATGTGATCTATATGAAACTTGGAGGGTGTATCGCTGGGCACTCCAGGAAGTGCAGTGTCAAGTTTGAAATCGTTTGGACAAGCGACGTTCATATTTTGGCTGGAAGCTGTTTTCTGTGTCCAGCAGGATCTTCAGTGGTCTTCTGGTTTCTTGTCGGTGGATCTTAAGTTTCCACTGTTGCTAAGTAACATTATCAAATGCAAGATTCTAGAATGTTGTCATGGATCAGAGGGATCAAATTTTAACTGTTGATGGCAGAACTGCGTCAGTGTTACATTAAAAAATATATATGTATATTGTTGAAGAAATTCTACTCATAGTCCTCATGTGAAGTTTGCTGTAGTGGGTGTTTATTAGTATTCCGGTATACGGTGGGCTCACCAACACAGAGCATGAGTCTGTGAAGGTGGACCGACCCTGAACATCTGCAGAGTCACACATTCATAGGGTAAGTCAGAGGGTAGGGGGGGGGCTGTATGTAAATACAGAGGTGAATAGAGGTAAATTAACATACAGATGCTAATCAAGTGACCGGAGGTAAGGGGGGCAATGAACCACAGGTGATGAAATCGGGGTCTGGTGACCAGACGGGTGGTGGAGTTGGGGTTCTGATAGCATACAGTTGCTAATCAAATGGCAGGAGGTAAGGGGACAATGAACAACAGGGGGTGGAATCGGGTGCCTGTGACAGGAGGTGGGAAAACACATGACAAAAGGTGATGGGAAAACACATGGCAAAAGGTGATGGGAAAACACATGGCAACAGGGAATGAATTCAGTGGTCTGTGGCCATCAAAATAAAAGAAAATGGCTTTCTTCATCCATCCATTATCTATACACCGCTTTATCCTCACTAGGGTCGCGGGGGGGGCTGGAGCCTATCCCAGCCGACTTAAGGCGACGGCAGGGGACACCCTGGACAGGTCAAAATGGCTTTCTTTATCAATATATATATTAACAAGTATTTTAAAACATTTGCCAAAGAATTATGGCTTGATGTGACATTTAGTAGTTAAAAACATGTATTAGTTCGAGGTCAGATGAAGTGCAAATGACAGATTAACATTAAACAATGTTGTATTATAAATTCTAAAAAAAAAAACATACAAATGAAAAGAGTTTTAAATGTTGATTCAAGAACTATCAACTACAACTTTCAAAGTTTTCTGACACGTATACATACCACATAGTGAGATCACATGAAGGGATTTTTATGAAACCGTTTCCCTGAAATCGCAGCAGAAAGACAAGCTGAGTAACTGTTAGTGTCACATGCTTCTCAAACCCAGGTAAACCTGTTCCAGTGCAAGTTTTCCACTTAGCGCCCTGCAGACGTCATCGCTGCATTGCCTAATGCATCCTGTCATGGTGATTTACTGATTCTTCCTCAGAGCCACATGACTTTATGACACTGCTTAAAGCAAGCTTTCTCTTTTTCGCTGTCTTAGTGTAACAGCATTTTGACTGGAAATGCAAACAGGACGTCATGTGGTTTCCTTCCTGAAAGTCTGGTCTGGTGACTGTGGCCTTTTGAAATAATTCGGTTTTCTATCTTTTCTTTGTTGACAATTGCTTATTTCTCATTGTCTGACAACTCTTGTGACTTTTTCCTCACATGTCTTAAAGGATGACAGCTAATGACTTATTAAGCAATACAAACCACTCGGAAGGTTTGAGCAGCCAATTTAAAGGTGTAGTCTGTTTTTTTTTTTGCAGTTGGTTTGTCAAAAAAAAAGTACTAAAAACTGTAAAAACTGTTGTATGATGTCTGAGAAAACAACCCTGCTGGTGCCACATTAAGCTGTTTTCCACTGCAAGAACTTGTAGGCTGCAAGTTTTAGAGCTGCTGAACCTTTGTGAAAGAACCGTCCCAGTAGAACCTCTATCTGGGCTGTTTTCATGGGGAATTAATTTTGGGATAGGTCTCCTCATCAAGTAATATATTCTCTTTTCTAACATCAACAACTTAAAATTCACCATATCGGCTAAAATAACAAACCTCCATTGTTATTTTTTCTTTCCATAGAGCTGGAGTTACATCCAGCTCATAGGACGTGTTGTTTTTTTTGTCAGAAACTGTGCAGTCGAAGCTGTCGGCTGCGACACCATGATGGAAACAAAAAGGCTGAAAGGGCCAGTGAGGAAGCAAATCCTGTAAATGTTCTCTCCACGTTGCACCTGCCCCAAGTTCCTGCCATGACAAACCACCTATTGTCATCAAAATTATTTCTTCCTACATGTAGAGACCAAAAAAGTCACATATAAAACACTATGATGTAGAGGTGGAAAGATGTGGGTGCTTATCATGTAGGGAAGTGTTCTATTAAAAACAAAAACCTACAGATTAACTTTAAGTAAAAAGGATAAATCCCCTCTTGCTACTTGTTTTTTCAGTTTATGTACCTCCTTAAATCATCTTTTTTTATGCCCTTTCTATCTTGTTTCTGCGTTTCCATTGCAGGCATCCATGGACGAGCTGGATCCAGAGGAGCAGTTCCTGCGATATGCCCGGAACGGAGATCTGCCCGGGGTTCAGAGGCTCCTCATGTCCAAGATAAAGGAGGAGACGCAGATCAACATCAATTGCAAAGGTATGTGATTCACAAATGGGGATAATAACAGTTTCATTGGGCTGGTATAATGCAGGATGCGCTGTTTTCTCAGGTAAAAGTAAGTCTAACCTTGGATGGACGCCTCTTCACTTGGCCTGTTATTTTGGACATAAAGATGTAGTGGAGGAATTACTCAAGGTAGCGTTTCCTTTCTTCTAAACATGGAGATTTTAAACAACTGTGCAGGTAACATGTTTATTATTATATCTATGCAGGCGGGGGCAGATGTTAACTTGCCCAATAACATCGGAGATACACCGCTGCACAAAGCTGCCTTCACAGGAAGAAAGGTATCATAACACCTCAACAGTTTTCCTGTTTGCCTCTACTCTTTGCATCTCCTTGTTGATAGTAGAAATTCTGAGCATGCATTTATTCATCCATTCAGTCTCTCAATCAATCAATCAATCATGTATCAATCAGGAGGTTGTCATGCTGCTGCTGCACTATGATGCTTGTGCCACTGTCATCAATGGGACAGCACAGATTCCCAAAGATGTCACTCAAAATGCAGAGATCAGAGGCATGTTGGAAGGTAAGAGACACGTGTTACCATCTAAGAGATATCATAGAACCATATTTTTAAGCAATTTTCACAATAAATATTTTAATAATCATTCATACAAGTGGGATCTCCGACATGTTGAGGTTAATTGGTGATTCTAAATTGTCCGTAGGTATGAATGTGAGTGTGCTTGGTTGTCTGTCTCTAAGTGTAGCCCTGTGATAGACTGGTGACCTGTCCAGGGTGTCCCCTGCCTTCACCCTAAGTCAGCTGGGATAGGCTCCAGCCCCCAAGCGACCCTAGTGAGGATTAAGCGGTGTATAGATAATGGATGGATGGATTCATACAAGTTGTTTGTTTTATGTATAAACTGTCAAGTCAATCTATGCTTTTATCTTGAAAATCCCGCCCCGATACCAGCGGCTGAAAGAACAGAGGAGAGGAAACTAGAGGAGAAACTTTTGGACGCTGCTCGTGAAGGAGACCTTTCAACGTTAACTGAGCTGGTCAGTGCCACATGCTTTTTTGTAATTTTTTTCTTGTGAAAAAGAGAATACGGAAAAGAGATGTCGTACATCATGCATTTTCTTCTAGTTCTGTCCACACGCCCCTTCATAGTGCACACATACACATACAAAGTCCACTGGATCCTAAAGAATAGTCAGACCCCAGTGTTACTCACCTCGATTCTTCCTTGGCAAATCCAAAGAAACGTCTCACCTTGGTTCTCAAATACAACCAGAGGGTCCTCAGTTGAGGCATATAGTTGCCCCTGCCAGCCATGATGCACTGAGCCCCAGTAAACCACTGTTCCTTCCCACTTTCTACAAAGTAGGTGTTTTCTTTCACTAATCATGGTTGGCTGGTTGTCCAAGGTGAAATGGGTACTATCCATGTATGCATTACATATTATTTAAAATATAATGGCAATATCAAAATTTATGACATGAATGAAATATCATCCAAGGTCAAATGTAACATCACGAACAGAAAGCCCCAACATGGTTGCTTATCTGCAGCGGTTTTGAAAAAGTGACTTTGAAAAGGCTGTCGTTGCACTGATTGACCCCAAAATCCAACCATTCCAAAGAGAGGCCATTCCTAGCTCACCCGTAAAATATCAACTTGTAAGACCTCAGCACTCGAGCAAGAGACTGTTCACAGACAGATACACAGATTTACTTCACATGTTTCTGCTGTGGACAGTTTAACATGGGGTTCTATGGGGATTGACTCATTTTTGGAGCCAGCCTCAAGTAGCCATTTGAGGAACTGCAGTTTTTGGCACTCAAACTGTAACATTGGGTTGCTTTTCAGTCCTGGAGGTTGCACCTATTTGCCACCTCAATGTCAACACCGTCTTGGCTATAGTGAGACGAGCCCCTAGAATGTGACTCAGTTGTAAAGACAAGTCTAACAGGAAGTCGTCGCTAAGTAGAAGCAGAGTCGATGAAAGTGGAATCCAAACTCTAAGCATGTCGATTGAAGTGAGAGATACTTCCTTCAAGGATCAAACCACTTTAGACCTTTCCAGTACATACGCATACTTCTCTCTCAATTGCTAATTAGCAAGAATTATCACAGTAGCACGCCACAATGAAATGTTAAACAAGGACATAACAATACCTGCTAAACGACATGTTGGCGTTGCCGCCGTGGGCATTTGAACAAGGATTAAGCTCTCAATTGTACCTGAACTGACAGTTACATTCAGAAGTGTTGCACCATGTTCACAAGTCCAGACAGGTGGAGACGACTCAGCCCTTTGAAACTCAACAACGCAGTAATTATGAAAAGCTCATTAAGGACAGCTCTGAACAAAATCTGTACTTTCAATGGTAGTGTAGCGCCCACTGCCAGTAGTTTAACTTAAAAGTCACTGATCTGTGAGAATCTTGCTTTAATCTGTGACAACATTCTAGAATTTTGCATTTAATCTGTTACAACATTTTTAAATCTTTCCTTTTAATCTGTGACAACGTTCTAGAATCGTGGCTTGAAACTATGAGACCATTCCAGAATCCTGCTTTAGGTGATGTTGCCCATCTAAAGGACCGTTGAGGGTACTGTTAAATGCGTGACAGAAAAACAACTTTTCGCCAAAATATGAGGATCGCTCAACCGAACGACTTCAACACTGCACTTCCTCAGGTTCCCGGCAATAAACCCGCCAAGTTTGAAGTAGATTAGATGAACGCTTGTCAAGATACGTGAGAAACAGACAGACACACAGTGGCAGTAAAGTTTTATAACATCTTAACTATTCCAGCTCTGGTTCACAGTGTGAGAAATCAAGCAGTCATGCTTCGGTTCTTGGCAGAATAATAAAGAACTCAGACAACATCTGTTCCTGTCCTGTGTGTTCTCTGCAGCTCAGCAGGAAGAAGCCTCCGGACATCGACTGCACAGATCTGCTGGGTAACACTCCGCTGCACTGTGCAGCCTATCGAGGCCAGAGGCAGTGTGCCCTGAAGCTGCTCAAGAGTGGAGCCAACCCCAGCGTCAAAAACAAGAACGGTATGACGCATCAGCCAGAGCTGGCAGCCACGAATGACCAGTGATATTTCATATTCTTCTTTTTTGTGGGCACATACCATGAAAAGGGCAAAACCAATGAGGAAGTCATGCTTTTGCCAGTTTCGTCTGCACAACTGAATCCTCAAAATAATGAAATAGTGAGCCGCACTGTTGACTGGGTGACTTCAATGTTGACCACGTTGTTCTGCTGCTTTACCTGCTACCGTATAAGATATGTATTAATACACAGCTGAAACTAGTCCCTCCAAAAAATACTCTATTTACATCTTCGGTAGGAATAAATGTGCTCGAGGCAGCCTCAGACAGGGCAGACAATGGGCAGTATTAAGAAGCCAACACATTATTGGTTTGAGGATTTTTTTTCCAACAATAAGAACATTTTCAGTCAGTAAGAAAAACATAGAATATCACGTCCTTTTTCTCTTACGAGCTCCCATCTTGACATTCTGCTTGCAGCAAAAAAAATGTTCCTTCAGGTGGGGAGTGACAGTTCCACTTCATTTTAAAAGGTCCGTCACCAGAAAAAACAGCAACCGTCTGGGCAAGCGGCTATAACCTTTCCTTAGGAATTTTCAAGGTGTAGCCTTTAATTATTTTTACCGAGCACGGTAGCTATTTCAGTGATTCCAACGTGATTATCAATGCAAAAAATAACCCAAACTGTGATTACATGAGAGGCACAAGCTGTTGCTGGTTCAGATGTAAATGAAGCCTTGATATTTATAACTGCTGTCACCGGGGTTGAAATATCGTTCAATCAAGCAGCGTTTTTCTCCCTCTGTACACATGTGCAGGGTTGTGCTAAAGCTCCATTTATCTTGTTTGTCCGTTCCTCACAGGCCAGTCGGTGTTTGACCTGGCCAGCGACACGGCGATGAGGCAGTTTCTTGAAGGCAACGTTCACAGAGTGAGTGAGTCGGCTTCCTAAAGCTACTTTGATTTGTTCTTTGATTTGTTTTTTACTTTCTTCATGTTCCCCATCTGCGTCCCCTGCAGGGTATGACCCGGCATGTCAAGAAGTACGAGGGACTCCTCTGGAAGGTAAAGTCTGGGAATTTATTTTCCTCGATGGCTGGCAGAAACCAATCCATTAGAGACAGAGAAATCACAAACAAAGTAGAGAAATTATATTTCACAGTTTGACAGCTCATATATTGCCTTCGGAGACCCCGCTGTTAAAGAAAACCCACACTCCATTATGTTTAGTGGTGCGTCTTATTACCAGACCGAGGCTTGGATTGACAATCAGATCTTTAAACAAAGGGGTACAAAGTTTTAACTTAAAATAAAGTTGATTTTACTTGAGTTTCCACTACGTTCAAACATTCCACGCAACATATCTGTTAACAACAGAGTAACATTTAGGCCGCTCTCTGCTCTTTCACAGCATGGATGATATAATGATGTTTGTCATTGTGTTTTGCTTTGCCTATTTTGTGTGCAAATTGTTATAATTATACTAATACTAATATAATTAATTTTATATGGTAAAATATGCATTTATCAACTTTTTTCTGCTTTTATTTTGAAAAAATAACTCAATGAAAATAGCCCAGAAGTCTGGATTTTGTCACTGTATTCACATAAGGTTTAGGAAACACGGCTGGGCCCGTGTATCAGTGTGGTCTATCAGTGTTGATTAGTTTGCTGCTTGAGCAAATGTTGGGACAGTGACAGCTCAGTGACCTCTGACATGATTACCAGTCGGCACAATGAGAGGTCACGTCAGCAGCGTGAGATACAGCAGATACTGCAGCCTCATTAACATGTGGGGACTGAGGGCTGAAGAATAATCAGTACAAACTGTTGAATATGTATGCTGCATGCAGTGTGATAGTGGACCTTTTTCACAGCAGATAGCGTTTCTTAACCGAGGCAGACAAACATCCAATCACCAGTTTTAAGATTCAGTGAGGTGAGCTGCTAAGATGATGTCAAGAAAGCTGAAAAGACAATCAGTCCACTGCTAAATTTTGTGTCATTTTCAAACAACTTCTTCATGTATTTATTTGATTTTATTAATATGGCACCAGTGTTGTCCAAGTAACACCTCCAGCATGCAAAGGTACACTAGGTTACCTTCAATCAGTGAAACAAACAACAAGAACTAATAACAATAAGGAAAGCATTCATTTTCCCAAATTTAATGTAGTTTAGAATCTCTTTTAATCAGCTAATATACGATGAAGGAGAAGCTTGTTTCCACTTGAACAGATTTAGATGCCTAGGAGAAGAGTGTTGTAAAGGCCCGAACATGTTGATTTGTCACAGAAAAGTCTGAGACTTGTACTCGTAGAATGCCAAATAGAGCAGTAAGAGGTTTGGAATCATTTCTCATGCTGAACACGGTCCCTAGTGTGTTAAATGTTTGACATCAGAAGCCTTCTTTGTCATTTTTGATGGATGTTAGTAGGTGAACAGCTGCAGAGAGAGAGCATTTTGAATTCAGTCCTGTTTCGGTTCACACCTCTGAATGGCTTCTTCTCCACAGCAATGACCACAAAAAGTTTAAGAAGTTTATACCCCTGGCTACAATATAAACCTATAGAGACGTTACTATATTTGTGAGAGTCCAGTTCTTCAGCAGCATTTAAGTCCATCTCCAGTCATTGATTTTACCCCTGAGGACTCATCTCTCGGAATCAAAGTGGCATTTTTAGAAGTTTTTTCCATGAAAATAATTCATTTCTGCTTTATATTGGCTTAGATGCAACTCTACACCATTGCTTCCTGTCGAATGCACAGATCTACATAGTTTGTTCGAATCTCTCCACCCACCCTTTTATCGCTAGTTGCAGCTCGAGCACACCAATTAACCCAAGACTCCGGTCAGAAAGCCTCACCCTGGAAATTGGCAGGATTGGCTCTTTAAGTTTGTTGCATATAAAACCTCATAAATCTGAAAACGTGGTTTTGAGACTGTCAACAATGCACTGCTTTTATTAAGGAATGCTTCTCCATTTGCCTCATTTGGGTCTTCAAGCATATAAAACACAGAATAGACATATAGGGCCTTTTAAAAACATTTAAAATGTGAATAGAGCAGTTATATTAAGAAATATATCGTTTGAATGAAAAGTTAGTCACAGAAAAATCCTCCAAGCGTCCACCATGAGATACCCAAAATTCCCACAAAACTCTGTCCTTCTCTGCCTGAGAACATGTGCATTAGCGTACGCCGAATCAGTAGAGAGCATCTATGAGCGAGAGCCCCGCCATCCAGTGGAATAAGATAAAATAATCATACAGCTTTTCTAGACTTTCCAAATGTTATTAGACGAAATGGACAATAAAGGAGGTATTTCGCAGGGTTTTGTGATGTTCACAGCCCCTATACTTTCCCAGTCATTTTGTCTGAGGAAAATGCTTTTTGTGGCCAGTGTGCATCATGGGATGAATACAGAAATAGTGGTAATGTGGTTTGGTCACTGCCCCACAGTCCTGCACTGCTCCTGAGGGCTCGGGTTGGACAAAAGAGGGGGGAAAAAAACAAAAACTGTCCTGAACCAGCAACTCCTCACATGTTGCAACCCTACACTTAGTCTGCTTTTAGCTCTGTTTTGGTCTCTACCTCTCTTTCATATGAACTACTTATAGTCCACTCTTTTAACAGTTAGTTTCTGTTTGTTGTTAGTTGCTGAATAGGTAGCATGTGACACATTTTTTGAGATTTTCTGCTGAAAAACAGCCACAAACTGACGGATGTTAAGTTGCTTTGTCGAGCTGAAGGGAACTGCAGTGTCACATGATAATTCTGTCAAAGGTCATTACTAGAAACAACCTTCCAAACAGCCAAATAGTCATCCAAAGATATTGATTAGAAGTGATTTAAAGACACAAAACCAACAATGAATCTGATCTGCTTCCAAAAATTGCTTGAAAGTGTATTCCTCTATGTCAGAAATGATTAAAAACAAACAACACCAGTCCCTCATCATTTCAATGTAGCGATCCTTCCTTGGTGTCAACACGGCTACTATAGGTTTGTTTCAGTTGTTTCCACACGAGTGCACCAAATGTGTATTGTTGCACAGCCGAAAATAGGCCCAGTTGTAATTACCACGTCAGTGTTGATGCGAGCGCTATTTAAAAGTCACAATACAATTATTGCAGCTTCTGATTTCTGTCAATGCAGCATTGGGAAACCCTAGAAACGGATTTCATTTTCACCTCCCGCTGAGCTTATCAGTTACAAAACAAACCTAAACATAGCTTGCTCCTGTGTGTGTGTGTGTGTGTGTGTGCGTGTGTGTGTGTGTGCATTGCAGCTTTTCTGTATGCATTTTTAGCATGTGTGTTGTTTTGAAATTCATTAGGTATTATCAAATGCGTGGCTACATTTCCAGGTTAACTGCTATTCTCAGGTGTCTCTCTCTCTCTCAGCCACCGCTGAAATCAGACTGTAAAATGATAGAAATCGCTGAAAATCAGACAGCTGATTCGTTTCTCGTTCCGTCCCGCAGAGCTCCAGATTTTTTGGCTGGCGCTCCTACTGGGTCGTTCTTCAGGATGGCGTGATATCCTGGTACTCAAAACAGTAGGTGCATCTCTCACCTTGGCTGAGCTCCTTGAATCAGACAAGGGAAAAGATCTCAGCGTCAGATAAATGGAAGTATTGTGCACTTTTGATTAGACAGGTGCTGGAGGTGACAGATAAATGAGTTAAAAATAGCAGGATTCTGTCTTCTGTACTTCAATTGAAAATCTATCATGTGTCAGGATTCCAGCTTCAAAAGAAAAGGACTCACCTCCTTTCTTTTTTCACATCAAGGTCCGACGCAGCTGCCAATGTCAGAAGGCAAGGCTGCAAGTCCCTCACAAACGCTCACTGCTTGGTAAGCCAACATTTGAGAATTCACCATTGTTTTGAGCTTGTGTGAGTATAACTTTTGCATAAGGGAATGTTTCTAATGTTTTCCAGATACGAGCCAAAGATAACTGCTTTTTTACCCTCAAGTGCTTCGATGACAGTGTGCATCACTTCAAAGTGTCCCCTAAAACTGACCCAGAGGCAGAGAGAAAGGTATGTTTCATTTCCTCTCGAGCTGTAATCGCTCCTAAAAGATCCATTAGTTTTCTCTTGACCTTCTTAGAGAAATTATGAACACTTGAAATGGCTGTGAAATTTCTAAATCAAGGTATCGCACTTACTAAATCCTGCCCTGACGTCTGAAATGTTTCACCTATGAGGCAGGGATCAGTGCTCGGAATAAAAAAGTAGAACCAGTTAAGTTCCACATCTTTACCACATCACTGCATTGTTTTAAAAGAATAGACTATGTTCCAGTATCCATCCGACCATACTATACAGCAGGGGTGGGCAATCCTGGTCCTCGAGGGCCACAATCCTGCATGTTTTAGATGTTTCCCTCTTCCAATGCAACGTTATCAGGCTTCTGCAGAGCTTGATGATGAGCTGATCGTTTGAATCAGGTGTGTTGGAAGAGGGAAACATCTAAAACATGCAGGATTGTGGCCCTCGAGGACCAAGATTGCCCACCCCTGCTGTATAATATGCAAAAGGATTTAGTATGTCCCAATGCAGAGCACGCCAAATGTAGTAAAGATACCAGGATGTTCTACTGCAACCATTTGGATTTTGCGTTATGCAAGCCAGCTTGCTTTCCTGCACAGTTTTGTCACTCATGTCACGGTTTAGCAAACAAGCATAAACAAGCTTGAGCTGCCGAGAGCACACAAACACACTCATTTTGCACTACAGAGTGCAACGATCAAAGTTTAAGACGCATTGTAATGTAGTATTAGGTCCAAATTGTATGTATACTGCTTGAAACTGTTTTGTGAGGACAGCTGTAGCACATGGTTGAGGTACAAAAATCAAAGTGTGCTATAGCTTGTCATGTTAGGAAATGCAGCTGTTTAGCTTAGCTTAGCATAAGAACTGGAAAGAGGTGAAATGTGCTTTAGTTACATTTTGGTTTTTGATAGTCAACTTTTAGGTCAGTTTCTGGTTTTTATGTCCCCATGCACTGACCAATACAGATTTTAAAAGCGTGTATGTGGTTCTTTTCATGCTACAATAGGTGTGCATCAGTCTGCTGCACAGACGGTGGCGTTACTCTTTATATCGAACCCAGACAAACACAGCACTCCCCATGGATGTGTCTGAATTACTGTAATTTTCAACTTTTTACAGGATAACACCTATGTGCAGGTTGGACTATAACAGTGTGTCTGTGTAATTTTTATCTTGAGGTGCACAGGATATCTGGAGAAGTTCGAACTTCAGACTGTGTTTGGGCAAATCAAAGCAACTCCAAGGTCTGGTAGCAAATGATGAACCGGTGTCTCATTGCACTTCCTTTCCTCGTAACAAGCATTTTCTTTTTAAGTTTTCTGGCAAATGTGCAGTCAGAGCTCTTGCAGTGCCTACAGCCTGTCACAAATTCTGGGCTGCTGGTAGACTTAGGGGTCCGCACAAATGCTCACAGACTTGGCTAGAAGACGACATTTACTTCACGTGTGAATTGGCCTTTCGAGGTGCTGGCAGGCATGTTTAATTACATTCTGACAGAACTGGGCAGCGTGAGCAAACAGGAAGCTGCCTGTTCACATTTAACGGACAGATGTGAGAATGAGTTTCGTTTTCTCGTCTGACTTTCTCCCTAAAAAGCAAATATGCGAGGTCACGATCCGTAACCTAAAACCGTGACATGTTTGATTTTCATGAGAAAAACCAGAAAAAAAAAAACGTCATGCCATTTTCTTTCAGGCATGGCTCGACGCGCTGGAGGAGCACTCGGCTTTCAGCACACACTACTGTTCTCAGGAGCAGGGCAGCGAGGAGGAGGAGGAGGAGGAAGTGATGTCACTCGGGGAACTAACAGACTCACTACAGGTGGCTTGTAACAAGAAAAATAAAAAATCCATAATTAGCATGTCAGCATAATGATCCGCAGTGTTTTGTCTGAACTATAAAACCCCTCCGGTCCTCCCACTCTGCGCTGCTTTTGTTCATCTGCAGTTTTTCTTCCTTCTCTTTGAATTACCAGGCAGCAGAGGTCAGCCAAAAGAAGCTGGAGAAGGAGGTGGAAGCTCTCCTGTCCATGCTGAAAAATGATGGGCTTTCAGAAAGTAAAACCTGTTATTGTACTGTTTTTTTTTTTTCTCGCTATTTAAAGTAATATATGTAACAGACGAGAAGCCTCATAGTTACAAACCATTCAAGAGTGCAAATGAAAACCTTATGATTAAAATTACGAGCATCATCAAGCAGATAACTGTAGACTATTAATGGTAGAGTGTCTGAAATGCTTCTAATTAGGAGTCTGCGCCATCTGTTTTGTTAGAGGTTTCTACCAGGCGCCGTTCGACAACTTGAACCGCACATTTGCATCTGTTAGGCATTCTGCTTTTAAGGCGGCTCGCTTTGTCAGTTTTTCGCTTCATTATTTCGTGTGTTTGATCCCCTCAGGATTTCCATCAACCATCGTGCAGAAAATGCAAGAAATCTGTGAGTTGTCCAGTGAGACCAACTCCAGTCTCAGCATTTGCCTCAGCTTTATCTCCAGACAGGAAGGGGTAAGTTCCAGCTTTCGTCTTCGTAAAGCAGGCGTTCACAAAATTTGTGGTTGAGATCATGACAAACCAAACAATCCGTTCTGCTCCTACCATAATGTAAGTTCACTCAAATCATGAAAAAAAATCATCATGTGACTACATTTGTACATGTTCAGCTCTGAGGGATATAAATGGGATTTTAATGACATTTTAAAAAAGCTCCTCCAAGTCTTCTTGAATATCTGTAGATTATGTGACCAGGACCTTGTTCCTTCCGAGCATTGAGGGCTTCTGTAGAAACCGTGAAGGCCAAATGAGATAATGTGTTTCTTTGTGATTACAGTGACGCTTTCGGAAAAAAAAAATACACATGCTATAAATAATGTAATCAGCAGGATCCTTATTCTTCATGACCCTCACATACACACACACACACACACACACACAGACAAATATATATATATTTAAAAACAAAACATACTTTGTAAGAAAGTGCTGGAGGGATTCAGGCCTCGTTATATAAAAGTATCGGTGGACTGCAGTGATTAGGAGCTGTCAGATGGATTTTCTTTGTGTATGACTGAATGGATTTGATTATAATAGAAGGATCCGTTGGATAGTTCACACCCCACTCAGAAAAAAACCCAACAAAAACAGCACTCCTTACAGCTTACAGCACGTGACAACCTTGGACAAAACTTTACTCGTATCGTCGTTGACTACACAGCGATGACACGGTGATTTGCATTAAGAGGTCAACTTCCAGTGTGTAGTGCAGAAGGCCTTTTGAGGTGATTCGTGTCAAGTCATGAATGGCTCTTCAACCTCATAGTAATTCAGGCGATAATGAACTGAAGGCATCAGGTTGAGTTGTGAAACTGCATTAGTGTCACAAAGGCGAGCTGTGTCGAGTCTTTAACCACGTTGGCTTCGAGCCCAGCGGCGCTTTGGCTCAGCTGTTTTCAGGAACAGCAGCGCCATTGTCAAAGATTATATTTAGATTTTTCTCAAATGTATTTTTCAAGCAACACAACTACAATGTCTGATTTTGGATAAGCCGCTAATTAGAAACGGGAAAAATTAATCACATTGATCAGAAAAACCATGAAATAAGTAGCGGCTCTGTGAAGCTTTACTGCAGCCAATCACGGGTGTTTTCATCTACAGCTGGCAGCCTAATATTAGTATAAAGAACAGCAAAGTCCATGGAGGGTGTAGGACATGGTGGTGCAATGGGTT